AAAATATATTCCTTTGCGAGCATTTATTAATGATTTTATTTAATTTAATTATTTCATCTACAAGGAAATGTATACATTTCTTTATCATGTAGAAAGGGAAACCTTTTCAGTGAACCTTTATCACTGTGACTTCATTTGCTGTACAAAAATTGAAGGTGACTGGTCCTGGAACAATAGTGTATTTGAATTTCATCATTGTGTTTTCATATCCTGTTATGGCAAAAAAAAAAAAAGTTCGAGTGAAATTAACAATAAGGATACCGCAATTGAGAGGTGTTGAAAAAGAATGAAGTGGAAAGAGAAGTAATATTAATAATAGATTGCTAAAGGTTAATTGCTTAAGAGCTGTCTGTATTTCAGAAATGACGTTGGAATTTTAAATTCCTTTAATTTCCATGTCACATGTATTCAAAGTCCTCAATTCTTGCATCATGATACTTCTATTTTGCATTCTGCTTACTGTGTTTATTCAAACTTTATAATCACATACTTTTTTTAAAAAAAGAGAGACATCTGATAAAATACATACAAATATAGAAATTATATTTTACTGGTTTGGTTGTAATACTTTTGCATTATTCATACCATGTATCCAAACTGTTTGTTGAATATTTTGTAGTATATATGCAAATCACAATAGTAGGTATCAACACAGAAAAGCAATACCTAAAGTTTAAACTTAATTAAATAAATATAGTTTTTACTTAATAACAATATGATATAATGGAATATGCATACAGCTGAGTTCCCCCTCACTGGAATATGATTGGCTGGTGTCCATCATAAATACAGACAGACATGTAGGTACGACAGAGTTTAAGTCTATGATGATGCCCATTGAACTACGCCATTGGCTATCCTATTGGTCTACACCTATTACCTGCGACTACGACGAGTACCGGTCGATTACTGCTACCATGTTACTGGTTACAGTAGCCAAAACCACTTAGCTACTTCGATCAAATATACCCCTTTCCGGGACATATCACAATATCACCTAACCTTTGCAAAGTAAAACAGAATTTTAAAATTTAAAACTTTATAAATTATAATTAAAATTAAAAAAAATAACAAGGTGAAAAAAATTTTTTTCTTGAATAATGAAATTTTACAAGAATTATATTATTTTTTTGTAAAATTTCATTATTCATCAAAAAAATTTTTTTCTTAAGACAATAGTATTCATAATATATCTTATTCATATAAGTAATTAAAAGTTTTTCTAATTAACGTTTTACTGCATATTTAAGAATTCAGAGATTTTTGGTAAATGGGGTCTGTTTTACAAAAAGAAATTGATGATTTAAATTCTCAAAGAAGTTCTGCTTTTAGCTAATATAAACCTAAGGCTCTAAAAGATTCAGTTTCTTGAAATTTGATACGTGGAGGTAACAGATGTGAAAAAATAAAAATAAATAAATAAATAAATATATCCTGAAAGTTTAGTTATCTTTAAAATCTGACAATTATTTGATCTTTGCAAGAATTTTCAAATGTTTTTCACAAAAAAAAAAAAAAAAAAAAAAAAAAAGCTAAAATTTCCTATGCTAATTTTTGGTACCTACACTCAAGTGAGTTTATTCAAAGTTTATGATCACACACATTAACTTTTAAAAGAGACGGTTGGTAAAATACATACAAATGTGGAAATTATATTTTACTGGTTTGGTTGTAATACTTTTACATTATTCATAAAATGTAGCAAAACTGTTTTTGTTGAATATTTTGTTTATGCAAATCACTGAAGGTAGTTTTGATTACATTGTTTTAGTTTCGTTTTAACAACCAAATAGGAATGAACTTTATATATGTGTGCATGTCCCTTCTTTTCACGTATAGACTATATAAAAAAAAAAAAAGAACCACTCCGAACTAAATATTTATCAACAAAATAATCATGTCCGTCTGATAAAAATTCCAAGGAATAAATGTAACTATTTCCTTTCGATGTAAGGGAGGTAACTACTCAAATAGTGTCAATATTGTCTTTCTAATATACATTTCTGTGTACTTCTAAAATAATTGATTACAGAAAAAGACTTATATTTGAATATTTTTTTCTACTCTATCTACTTATGCAAAAGTAATTCGCACATCAAATATTACTAGAATGTTATAGAAAACACTAGAAACGCCCGAGAAAATACCTCAAAAGCATACAAAGATTTTTTTGCAGTCTTCAATAAAGCATTTTAGTACAAGCGTAAGTCATTGTTTCGGCAGTTAAAATGAAGTCATCAAAGATGCGTTTAATAGATAATTTAATTAAGACAAAGGAAAATAACATCATTTTGTGTTAAAATGCCTTCTTAAAATTGATAGCAGGCTGTCATGCAAGCTATAACTAATAAGTTAATTCTTCATAAAGTACTTCATGTCTTGCATGAAAGGTTGCAATAAGTTAACTAATTAGCTGAATCTAAAATAAAGTAAAAACCTGTCAATATTTGTATACCTATTAATGCATTTTTAAAGTTTCTTGATTAAAATATATAATGCACAAAATTATGGAAGTTATTAATATTTCAGAGAATATCCCTTTGTCTAGCATTAATTATTCAAGGCTTAATAACTTGCAAAAATAATATGCATTTCTCCATATTTCTTGAGATATCTGTAATAAAATTTGCTCTAGTTTCAATAAAATAATAACAATTCTTAAAAATACCAAAGTAGCAGTCACAAAATGCTCTAGGACGTCTTAAAAATTTGTTCCCTCTTTAAAATTTAATTTAAAAAGCCCAAGGAAATAATCTATAAAGATAATTATTTTGTTTACATTTAATTGATTTTTTTTCCCAAATGTCAAGTTATATATTCATTATTTATGCTATTTTGTTCTTTCAGGTTTTGACACTTGAAAAGAAATCCAATTGACTGATTAATATTTTTCTTTGCAACTTATTCAAGTTAGTAAAGGAAAATATTTCTTGGCAAAATACTTTTTATTTTGACATGAAAATACATAACAGCCACAGAAAATAAAATGCTATTAGTTCAACAGATTCTGTGTAAGATAGGATCATAACTTACAAGATATTAAATTTTATATTTTCTAACCAATTAGGAAAAGAATATATTTGTAAATTAATAGTTTAGATCTCTTTCAAGGGCCTATTTAGAATTGTAACTAATTATTTTCCTCCAAGACTTCATTGTATATTTTTAAACTGATATGATTTTGTATAGATCTTTTTTGGTTTTTCTAAATTCTTACCAAAATGAATAATTAGCTCAACAATGCTAATTAACAAGATAATGAACATTGCTGTCATTGCAGTTCTATGGTCCAATTGCTGACAACAAAAATTTCTAATGCAGTTAATGAGTTCATCAGCTTTTGCAGACATTTTTTTTCTGCTGCAGATCAAAGATTCAGCATTTAAGATTTAAGCTTATGTCTATTATAGGCTGCTGACTACTTACCTGCTGCTTTAATCATTTTGCTTCAAGGATCAGTTGTTTTGCTATGCATAAATGAAAATATTTACTACGTTTTATTTACTTATTTGTGCTTATATCATTTACATGAGCAAATATAAACAGAATTTTAAACATAGTTAACTTTTCTTTATTACTTCTTCACCATTTTTAACTTGGTGTCATCTTTACCTATAGATTTGATTGAAATAACACAAAACACCTCTAAATGCAATTTCGTTTTCTCTTATTGCAAGGTATAAAATGAAAATTATACAATATTTGTTAAATTGTATGGTTATAAGACACTATTGCTTTCAGTGATATTTTCTTGATATTTCTTTTTAAAGAGAATAGTAATATTTCTGACTATAAATTTATAGCACTTCTTTGAAATTGTAATTACTATTAGTCTATCCAAAATTAATAAACAGAACAGCAGATTTAGCAAAAATGAACATGCAAATGTTTTTTTAGACACTTATAGCTGCCAATTAATGACAGAGTACAAAGTAAACATTTTCACTGAAAATATCAATAAATTTTTATCACAGTCAAACATCTACTGCTTTTATGAACTAAAGCAGAACATTTGTTAACAGAAACATTTTTATTTCCTATATATTATGTTTTATTTCACTGATTTTAAAAAAAATATTCTCAAAATTTTCATTAGACTTTTCTTGGGGGTAGTCATATTAAGAATTTTCCTTATATTTTAAAATTCAAGCTTAACATCAATATGCAATAAAATGCATATTTGCAACTTCTAATTCAGAGACGTTAATGCTTTTTTAAAAAAAAAAAACTTTAAAATTTGTACACTAGTTTCCATAAAATTTAATATATATGTACATCTTACCTTAACCCATTAATGTCCATTAATTATTTTTTGAGGAAATAGGACATTTTTCTTTTCTAATAGATTATCCATCTGATAATGGCTAAAGAATGGATCAATCAAAATGTGATAAGAGTACAAAAACATTCAACTGTTCAAACAAGATTTGGAATGTTATTAACCCTTCAATAGACAGTAATGAGATGCAGTTGTAAAGCTTAAATTGATTATATTCAGCTGCTGATTTAAACATCTATTCTTAGAATGAAAGGCAATATATATTTCTGTTTTTAGTTAACAATGCAAGGTTTTAGCTGTGCTGGGATAAAAGCAATAAATATAAAAGTTGAAAAAGACAATTGCTCAAACCCTTAAAAAAAAAAACAAAAAAACAATGAACTGTTGATAAAGCACACACACATACACACATATGTTCACAAATTAAAAAAAATAGACTGAAATTTCATGAAAATACGTTCATTTTTTCAAGGCCATTTTAGCTGTATTATGGAAATGGAAAAATCCTACAATCATGTCCATTTAAAATTTTTTCATGTATTTTGGTGAAAAAGTTTGTTTGCATGGCAAGGTCCATTTTCCCCTCAAAAGCAAGTCAAAGATCAAAACAGTCCCTAATTCTTTTGTAACCTGATCTAAGCAACAGGACTAGGGACTACTTTGCGACTGTTGCTGCTGCCTTCTCATTTTCAACCTGCTATGTGGAAATTGAAGAAAAAGGTCATAACTCCTCTCCAGCAGCCTCTAAAACATTACTACTATAGGCCAAATCCCAATAGTATTCGACTCCATATTTACGAAACTGTTCTCGTGCAAAGCTCTCAGTAGGACAGGTCTTAAATTTCAAATCACCAAATGCACGTGTCTTGGTAGTTCCCTGAAATAAGAAAATTATTTGCATAGTTAAAAAAAAAGAAATTAAATGTAATAACAAATAAAGAAATGATAAAAACATTAATCTACCAGTGACAACATGAGTAAATGTTTAAATTTAATTTTTTTTCTTTAACTGATATAAAGAAATCAAAAATATATGAAATAACCTTCAAGAATGAGAACAGAACTTCAAATTTTTGAAAAAAATTAATTTAAAAATTTGCAAACATCGCCAGATTTTGTTGAAATTTTCTGCTTTGCCACGGTTTATAATGTCTGTTTTTTTTGTTTTTAAATCGGAATCATACCAAGCAAGGCAGCAATGCTACTAAAACACAATGGGTTACAGGAGGTGGAAGAATTTGGAACAGAAACATTAATGATCAGCAGAAAGAGAAGAGAGTAATCAGTTGGACAGTAGATAGTAATTGACATTGCATTTAAATTTTTGCAGATTAATGTTGGCCAGAGAGCATGGAGCCAGAAGGGAGCTCCACAAATGAGAAGTGAGACAGAAAAAACTGTTAGCATAGAATTTACGGCTACATCTAACCAGCTCAACTGTAAATTGATGAGATCTAGAGGCCAGACTAGTCCTGTGCTTAAATTCAAAAAGACCAGGTACCATATTTATAAAAAGGATAGAGAGACAACCTTACAGTGGTGAGAAAGTGACTGGAGCTGAGCTGTCAGATGAGGACCAATAATACTGCAGATTCTTCTTTGTATCTTATCAAGGAGCTCAAGGTAAATAACAAGGGCACCAGATCATAGGTGGCAGCAACCTTCTAAGCATGGATGAATGGTAGACTTATAGATATGCAAGACAATTTTTCTCTCTAGAATCTGTCTTGCTTGAGATAGTAAATGGACTTTCTTAGCAGCTGATCTAGCAATGGATTCAATATAGTCTGTACACTTTATATCAGCAGAGAACATGAGCCTGAGGAGGTGCAACAAATCACTTTCCTGGAGGATAGCATCAGCCATTCTGATGGAAAGCAGCAAGTGGTCTCTCAGATGATTAATGGAGAGAAGTTTAGGTTTGGAGGTGTTAAGAATTAAAAAGCCATCTTTTTGCCCCAGTTAACTATGGACTTGAGGTTGTTTTGGACATTGGCTACTATATTGGCCTTGTCAGACTGATAAGCCTTAATATCGAGGCAAGAGTAAATTGTGTTATCAGCATAGATACCAAGTTGGGAGCTGATGTCATCAGGAAGGTCATTAATGAAAATTAAAAATAAAGAGCAAGGATGGAGCCCTGGGAGACGCCTATGGAAGGATCTAGATGAGTGGCTGTTCAGGATAACTCATTTCATGATTTGATAGGAATGACTGGGTCAGTTACAAAAAAAAAAAATGTCTAGAGACACTAACTTTTCAGCAGCTTATGGAGAAGAACTTAATGCCAAACTCTGTCAAAGGCTTTTGATATGTCCAATGCAACAGCCCATTCTTTTTTTATCTAGAGCATGCTAGACTTTCCACAAATATTGTCAGTACATTAGCAGTTGACCTGGAGAAACAAAAGCCATATTGCTTGTCTGAGAAAAGGCCCTGTAATGAGAGATGATGAATTAATTCAGCATTGATTAGGGCCTCTAGGAGCTTCCCAAAAAATAGATAAAAAGCTAATAGGCCGATTGTTGGAAGGGTCAGATGGCTCATCAGAGTTCTTAAAAACTGGAAAACAGATGATGACTTCCAGCAGGCAGGAAAACAGGAGGCAGTGAGGCATTTATTATCCAGTTTAAAGAGCACAGGAGCCAGTTTGTATAAAAAATTCACTGTAACTGTGGAAGTTGTTTTTTTGTACTTACAAATTTCAGACCACTTACTAAAGATAATGTGATTTGTTTACTGGACCTGCAAAATCTATGTGCCGTCTTGACCACGGAGTATCCATCTCTGGCCAAGGTTGTAATTTCATGGTAGGTGATTTTGCTGCCAGAGCACAATCTCAGTAATTGTTTGAATTAATCAAAGTATCTCAAAATAGAAGACTCATTTCAAATTCAACTATGTAAATGACATCAGAAGAATACCAGTCTGTGGTATGGTTAATGGGGGTGCATTTCTCTAACCCAATGGTCTCTTGCATCCCATGTTATTGTAAAGTATTTACTTTTCATTGCCTGTCACAATTTGTTTCAAAAACAGAACATCTATATAAATTTAACTTACAAAGCAACCACAATTCAAAGCAATTAAAATAATTTGGCATGATTCTCAACACTTGATTTGAACATTTTGAGTACGTTGAAGATTTCCTGTATAGTATAAAATTGATTATTTGCAAGTGATATTTTTGATTTGATTCCTATAAACTTATAAAGAAATAAAATTAAAATAACTGTGGAAAATCGACAGGAAACTTCACAAAACACTTAACACATTCCATCATTCACAGTACTTAATAAACTGCACTAATCTATTTTTGCATGATTAGCATTTTTACTTTTGGTAAAATAAAAATAGCATAAAATACTGGTTATTTTTCTTCCATCTTCAATATTAGCATCACTAAACAAAAATAACAAAATCTTTTGAAAAATGTGCAGTTGTCCCAATACAATCAAAAGTTATATTTTGAATGAGCTAAAATCTCCTAATGCCATTTAAGACAAAAACCAAATTTGTTGACCAACTCAATGCATAATTTGATTTCTGTTCCTTGTACCAAGAAAATAATATTTATAGTAAGTTAAATGTAGCACATAATAAATGAACAAATTATTAAAAAAATCTCAGTAGTTCTTATTTGTTAAGCTCAGCTGAATAGAGTTCTTTTGTCTCAATTACAAGTGGAGAATATGCAACACAAAAATCACTTAAGAGTTTTTTTTTTACCTCCCATACAAGTGAACATTTGTTAGTCTTTGTTGATTCTTCTTCAGAGTCACTGTCATCTACAAAGAGAAAAAATATATTGTTCTGTTAAAAAGTAAGATGAATAGAAAAAAAATCCTAATATAAAATGTCTTAAAATTATACAAGTAGAACACTTCTAACAGCTTTTAAATACTATTTTAAGATAAAGAGTAGCTTGAGTGTCTGTTCTAGCAATATCTAAAGCAAAAAACGGTTATAAATTTGGAATATTTTTTTCACATATTGTGTTATTTGAGATAACATTCAAAATGTAGTGAAAAGACATTAATTTGAAAATAATTTTAAAAATTTTCCTAGAAAATTATTTTCTATTACAGAGAAGTAAACACATTTATAATAAAATAAATCCATTAAATATTGCCTTTTTATTCATTATATTATTTAAACTAGTATTCTTGATTTTTTTTAGTATAAACTTCAGCAAGTCCTATTAAGTATTGTTCAATGTTTCTTACTACATTTGCCTTTCATTTTTAAAAATATCTAACAAGGGTAAAAATTATTTTGAAAATACCAATTTCAATAATTAAAACTGATCGATTTCCAGAGATTTATTAAAACAATACAAAAAATTATTTTAAATGTATAAAAAAAAAAAAAAAAAAATTAGGACTATATGTGAAAGTTAATTTGGGAGTGAACTGTTTAGTTTTAAAAATCAGTCAAATATCCTGATCAATATAAACATTTCTTAGACGTTTAGTAAAATCTATACTTATACATGTCTATTTCTATATAGGCAAGAAGAAAAATATATTTTATACCATCTTTTGTGTGCTGTTGAGCTTCTGACCACTTTATCCGATGTAACATCAATCGCTTAAATTTCCTTTGTTGCTTTGGTCCTAAAATCAAAAAAATATGCAAAATGAGAAAAAAATGAAGTTAGAGTCAACAATAAATCCCATTAGTCTATGTAAGCACCAGTTGTTTACTTCTGACACCAATAAAATATATTTATTAAGCCACTGATTTTTTTAGTATATATAATTCATTTATCTTAAACTGTTTAATGATTTTTTTTACCTTGATAATTTTGTTTTTCATCAAAATATTTATATATAATTTAATTTATATATTGGTAAATAAAGATCAGAAATCTGTATTAGTAAATTTCTTACACAAAAAATCGATTACATGTAACAATCCTCATTTTTCCATTGCTTCTTTTTATTAAGTGAATATCAGACTTTAAGTGAATGCCTTACTACTTATGTCTACAAGCTTGTAGATCAAAAGGAAAAAATACTCAAATCACTCTTATTCAAGATTAGACATGATTCACCAAATTCTTTTTATACAATTTCTTTGAAAGATTTAAGAAATTTTGAACTATCTTGTGTAATTAAAAAGGTACAAGTTATTTGAATTTAAAAGAATTTTACATATCTTACAAAAATAAACCATACAAATTTACCTAAATGGAAATAATATTTAAATGTTAATAACAATAAAGTAAGATGTTAATTATATTTTTGTCAGTCTGAACTAGTTCTCATGTCTGTGTAATATATATATATATATATATATATATATATTTATTATCACTTTAAACGTCATTTTTAGTGGATACTCATATTTGAGTAGACGCTCCACATATTTATTAAACAGTATATTTATTTATTTTCATCTACTGGCCTGAATATTGGAGAATTCTTAAATAATTATATGTACTCTCCAGCAGGGCTTGAATCTGCATCTCTCGGCCATGGAACTGCTTTGTCAAAGTCAGTTAAGGCATTTTGGATCTAAGGACGGTTTTCCCTCATCCAGGTCAGAAAACAAATAAATATACAGTTTAATAAATAAATGGAGCATCTACACAAATGAGCAAAACAAAATAAACACTCAAAGAAAAGAGAGTTAAGTCTAACATAACCAAAATAAAATGATAAAAACATCTTGTTGAAAAAGTTTAGATGAAGTAATTCTCACCTCCTTCAACAACTACAACATTGCAGTCTTTAAACAAGACCACAAGGCCAGTCATAAACAACTGTTTGGCATTTGTCTCTATCTTGAATTTTCTGGCAGGATTATTTAAATCTCGTATCCTGAAAAAAGAAAAAGAAAAAACACATTAGTTAAACCCATTTAGACAGTTTTATCATGGTAGAATTTTCTGATCAAATGTTGGTAGAATTCAGAAAATATACACCCAACAAGTTCTTATTTGCATTTCATGGAAATTTAAAACTCAGCATAACTGCGAGTCAAACAATTTTTTATTTGCAATTGAATATTAGTTATTTAATAGAAATCTAGTTTGTAAATAAGCCTGGCAATGATTGGTTAGTTTAGATTATTTTTTTTATCAAACTTTTGCTAGAAAATATGAAAAAAAATTATATGTGTCTCAAAGTATGTTTATCACTTAATATGTATTAAGCACATATGTAATACTAGCTTAAAAGCCGCCCTATTGGGTGGCATTTAAGCTAGCCCCCTGATTGGGCCTTTGGCTTGTTCAGGAGTTTGAGAATCCCTAAGTCTTTGCATATTCTCAGCATTGGAAGCTCTCCTGGCTGCCGTTTGCATGGGACTTTCTTTTCTTTGCTGCAACCTTGGGTCTTTTGATTGCAATCTGGTCCTCTGTTGACTTTTGCTGGATTTCACAATTAATTTCAATTATTTCCAAATTTATTTCCAAGTTACAAAAAGAATTTGTTGCAAAAAATCATGTAAAAAAAAAAAAAAAAAAAATCACCCCAAAAAATTGCAGTAATGAAAACTTGGGAATCGAAAATTTCTGTAACGAGCTATTGAAAATTAAAAAGTTGTGTCCCTTCAATTGAAAAAATGTGACAGTGACACACTAACATTGGCATTTATTATATAGAAATACATTAAAACAAAAAATAATTAATTTTCATTGTTTTCAAGTGTGTATAGAAAAATAAGTATATTAAATAAGTATAGAGAAGAGATTATATACTCTACAAAAATATACAGAGTTGACAGAAGAGCGAGTCATAATTTTTTAAAATTATAGCATTTATAAATCATATACACATACATATAAATTAATAAAAGTTTAATAGTAAAATGCGTGGTTAAAGTAATCAGTATCCAGCCATAAATAATTGGGTAAAGTTTAACATATGTACCCCCACTCACCGAAAAAAAGTGTCAAAAAACAGTTTTTCTCTTGACATCGATATTAGTGTATACTCCCCTGGCAATTTTTATTGTTTCAAAAAGTGATTTTTAGAATTTTAGTAAAAGCCAAACATATGAAAGTGAATTTTTTTGCATTCTTTCTTGAGAATTGACTACAAAAGAATTAAACACTATTTATTTTATTAGATTGTTTATTTACAAGAATAAATTTATATTTATAAAAATTTGTGAACCAACTGCAATGAAATATTTATTATTTACTGTATCAAATGGAAATTAAAAGTAAACAATATCTGCACCAAGCATAACTACATTAAAGGCAATACCTCAGAAAGTTTCAGGAAAAATGGTTAAACATTCTGTAAGTGTTAATACTAAAAGCAAACAGCTCACCTGTATACTGAAACATCTACACCTAAGCTGGTATCTTCTTTGATTTTACGCATCTTTTTATCTCGTCTTTGTTCAGCAGTTAATTTACGAGCAGCATTTGCTTCTTCGTGGGCCCTGGAAATAGAAAATGAATTGTTTTATTTACAATCAGTAAGAAAGAATATGAGGTGTGCTGAAAGTTCTTGTCATGATTTTCTTCCCAAAATCAGTATTTCAGTGACCAACAAAAAAAACAAAAAAAAAACAAAATATTGAATTTTGGGAAGTGGATCAGGCTGAGAACTTTTCAACACTCTCATACATTGAGTTATTTATTTATAGCGTTTATCATTACATATATTATAATACCAAATTCTATTACCACAAAATTTTAATTAAAACGTTTTTGCTATCAACAAGATAGGTTTTCTGAATTCCCGAGGTTAAACAAAATTTATTTTCAAGCATCCTCAGAAGGTAGCGGATAAGCAAAAGAATGTAATAAATTTAAAAAGTGTATTTTTGCTCACAGAAAAAAAAATATTTACAATTTAGTCTTTAAAAGGTTCTTGAGGATTGTTAAAGGAATTTCTTAACACATCAAGAATTATTTTAGATAAGTCTAATCAAAAATATCATTGCTAATGGCCAGTCCTTTGAAGCCCATGAGATCAATGTCAGCATTCCCCAAAATTCTTCTTGATCCTAACCTCTTTCTGCTTTAATATTAATGATTTGCTTAAGAACATACCTCAGATCTTTAGTGAATATCTATGCACATGATGCAACAGTGTATATGTGCACCTCCAAAAACCTAGATGACCAGAACTTGGCAACTGATCTCTCCTCTGACCCAGCCCTGGGAGATTAATGGAGGGATGAGTGGTTTGTAACATTCAAAACTTCCAAAACCAAACTAGTAAGTTTCTCCCACCACTGAGCAGAGCCTGGACTTTCACCTATCATGATAAGTAGTTCTCTCAAAGAGGCTCCTTGTCTTGAATGCCTACTAGGATTCAAGCCAACACCAGGTTTCAAATGGAACTCACATATACTATCCTTTGTTAAAGATGTTGAAAAAAATGGTTGGTTCCCTGTACTGCTCTAGTAAGTATCTGACTCCTGCAATGCTCTATCTTTACAAGAGATCAAAAATGGAGTATATCTGGCCTGGTACTGCTCAATCCTCAATTGCTAGTCTTAATAGAGTTCAAAATGTAGTCCTGTGAGCAAGGATTTGTTTTCTACCTTACAACCCCCTTTCCCACAGCTGAAACATTGCAAGACTCTCATTAATTCCATGGCAAATGATTTGACAAACTAGATTCCTTAGTTTCAACAGTTCTGACCTTTGTAACTAAGACCTGCCATGCCATGTACAATGGGAAAAAATTATCCTCATTCCCTTTTTATTCCATTAGTAAGGAGGAAGTTCTATTCAGACAACTTCTTCCCAAGAACCAGTATTTTGTGGAACAGATCCCTAAGTGGATAACCCCCCACCATCTCGATCATTACAATCTTAGTCTCTCCAAATCTCAGGCTAACTGGTATTTCACCTAGCTAGCCTCATAAACTGAACTTCTTACCTCTTCCTCTTATGCTCATAGAACAACATCATTCAGTAACGCTCTACCTTGAGTGGTTCAACATTAGTAAAGAACAAAATAGAAGTATTGTTTTCATTTACATTGAAAATCTATTCTATTGAAAATATATCTAAAATATTTACCTTTGTCTTTTTACCATCTGGGCTCGTACATGAGCTTCAACCTTAGTTGGATCCTGCACTGCTTCTGTTCCAAGTACTCGCATTAAGTTGGCCATTCTCACTACAAGGGGTTATAACCACAAAAGGTAAGTTAACAAGTAAATTGATATATTATCATTTTCAATTATATTTTCATTAAGATTTATAAGTTTTGATCAGATGGAGAAAAGTTCTATATTGTCTTACATTAAAGAAAAAAAAAAACAATAAAGATTCAACTGGCTGATACAAAAACTAATATTGGCTAGAAATCATGCAGATAGTACCTGTAATTGAGCTGTCTATTGAAAAATTAATTTAAAAATTTACATTTCCAAAATGTTTTTAATTAACAAAAAAAGACAAGGATAGATTTTTGTTAGATGAAAATCTATCTTTTATTGAAACAATTGCAATATTTACTTTCAAAATGTTATCTTTTGTTCTTTTTCAAGTTAACCTATTAATGCCCAGCTCCAAAAATTGGCTGAAAGACATTAATGGGTTACAGGTAGAAACCTATAAGACTAGAATTTTTTTATAAACCTATATTTAATACTGGATTTTACAGTGTGTATTGATAGGTTAATCTAAAACATTTGTTTTCAACCATCTCAAAATAATTGTTAATAAATTTTTTTTACTGTATGATAATTTATAATTAAACAAAGAAAGGAAGCTAAATATTTGATTAAAAAGGCATGAAGGATTTTCTTCTTTTTGTTTGGGGATCTGTCAAAAATCAGGAGGGATAGAAAAATCAACAGCACCAGAATCAAACAGTGTCTGTTCAGACATTTTAAAGAGAAAAATATCATAAAAATGAGATACATGAAGTCTTTTTTAACAGGACTAATGAAAAGAAAGCAAACAAATTTTATGAACAAGAATTGAGAGAAAGTATCTTTTCTCCTTTTACATCCTTACTAAAAAACTTAATGAAATATTCTAAGGAAATTTCATTATTTTCTGAAAATACTTGTTCTGGCTGAGTAAGACAAACCTGATATAACTTTTAAACGTCTGTGATTCATATATCAACTGAAACACTTAGTTGCTTTGAAAACTACAAGCTGCATAACCAATTCTTTAGCACAACTCAAAGAGAAAATAAATCTCACAATTAACTTAAAAATATCTCACAACTGAAAACTAATCTTTATAACACTCTGGTAACAGATCTTTTGTCTAATGTACGAGTTGTAATGATTCTTATTAAGTTTTTAAATCTCCATCATTTCCTGCCTTGGATAAAGACAATATGACAGATTACTTCAACTTGACTGAACATACAAATATCATAATATATTATAATTAGGTGCACACTGACCATGGGCAATTGAAGGTCTTAACATTACAACTGATATTTTCAGATTTCAGTGTAGCCCAACAAATATTTCAACAAGCATATGATATTCAGATTTTCATGATGTAAATGCAAAACAAACCTTTGGGTTCAGGTGGAGGTACAAGTCCAAGTCGTATTTTTTCTTGTAATTCCTTCTGTGCTTCCGTCTGATTTTGTCGACGTAATTTTTTGCGTTCTTTTTTGGTTAAATAAACTGGAATGGCTATTTCTTTTTCAGGTTCCGCTGATTAAAAGAAGAACACATTAAAAATTAGTTTAAAACAGTGACAATCTTGTACATGTGAATTGTAACTGGACACAGAATTTCATATTCTGAAGCAACATATCACAATAAAGAAATGAATAAAATTATTAAAAAATTCTAATGATTGTGCAAAATGATTATACTCAAAATACTCTGCAAAATATTAATAGTAATCAAAATTTATAAATTGTAATATTTAGTACATTTTAAAGAAGCACAATTAGTTTTTTTTAAATTAATTATATCAAAGTTATAAAAGAAAAAAGAACAACTAAACTTAATACATTTTCTAGAGATGCAAAAGTGTCTTTTTTATTCTTTAAAATATTCTTTTCTTTTTTCTGATAAAACTAGGTTTTATCCGTATTTTTAAAAAAATAAAGTAAAAGAAAAATATCTTAAACTTGTCTAATTTATGTAAGATAATCTGTGAAAATTATGTTTACAAAAAAATAAAACAAAACTACTTTTTCAAGTTTATTTTATAAAATTGAATTCATTACTTTTACAAAAATATTTATAACTTGATGCTGCTGTACCACTTAATATTTCGAATATTTTTAAGTGTTTTCTAAATTTTGGTCTTATAAGGCAATACTTTTTATAGCAGTATATTTATTTGAAATTGCAGTAAATATTTTGAAAACTGATTTATTTTTAATTTTTTAAACTAATTTGTAAAAATGAGCAAATGCCAATTGTACTACTGCAAACTAATTTTTTTACATGACAAAACTGCAGGTAAACAGAAATAAGACATTTTGTAATTTCCTGTTAATTTCCTTAAGTCAATTTAATGAACTACTGAAAATGATATATTAATGAGTATTTAATAGTTACATTTGCTAATAACTGAAATAAACAATATTGGTTTTAAATTCCAGTAATAAAAAAAAAATGTAAAGTTATCATTCTGTACTATTGCTTATGAGCTTCACTGTAGCTATGATATTTTTGTATCTGAATTGTTAAAGAATGAAAATTTTGTTTGTATAAATATTTCAATGAGACTTCTTTTAAAGCAACTGTATGAAGTGTCAATAAACAAACATACAATAAAACACTGAAAATTGTTAATATATTATTAATACTTAAATTTATTTATAGATAAATAAACAAATTATATTTGTAAATGTTTATGTATTGTCTTCCACAATATTGTGTAAGCCCTTCATTGTAGCTATGATATTTTCAGCATCTAAATTACCATTAAAAATCAAAATTTGCTTACATTATATGCAGATCACACATTCTTTTAAAACTATTGCATGAAGTGTTGCCCTATAGTTGGCAACTATTTATTGCCATGTATATGCAATGACATACAGTACAAGCAAGGGTTAACAATACTATTACTTCTTTTGTACAAAAATATTTTTTATTTAAAAAGAATGACATTTTGGGGTAATTGATAACAAAAACTTACTTTCAGTAGTTTCATCTTACTTCATTTAAAGTTTTTCTCATGATTCTAATGGTGTGTTTGTAGGGCATATATGAAGATCACATACAATTTTGATTCTGAAACCTGCTACTTATAAAACTACTAACATAGTACCACATCACAAAAATTATTGTGGATATGTTACTTGTATGCTTACTTTTAAGTTGGATGTTCAAATTAGGGTAGTATTTCCACGTTATTTGTTTGCTTTAACAGATGTTAGAGACAATCACTACACGTTTATATATATATATATATATATATATATACACACACATATACACACACACGTGTGCGTGTGTAGTAAACTACTCCAGTTGGTCAAATTAATTTAAAGAAGCATATTTTTTTTCTTAGTATAAACCATTATGAATTATTAGAAAAATATATCTACTAAATCTGGAGTCAAGTTTTCAATACTGGGTATGCTATAAAATGAATACATTCCGTAATATTTGTAAGTGAGGAAATCTATACAATCATAAAGATTATTTAACTTTCCAAATATAACAAGTTAAGAAACACATTAAAAATAAGGTGCTTTTCTATTTGGTCAAAGTAAAGTATTGCTACTTGGACAAAAAGGTAAAATTAACTTGCAAATACTAAGCTATGTAAAGTACACAGGTACTACACAGATACTAGACAGAGATGCTGATCTAAATGTAAATATTTCGTTATTTTTTTTTATTTAATGAATACTATGCTAGGAGTTTTAGAAATCGCAGGTTTCAAAATCAAAACTGTATGTGATCTTTATAAGTGCCATACAAACACACCATTAGAATCATTTATGAGAAAAATTGTAAATGAATCACAAGATGTAACTACTGAAAGTGTTTGAGTCTTTTTCATTTATTTTTTCAGCTTATCAAAAATAAATAAATGTACAACTTAATCTACTTAAAAAATAATTTTTGTCCCTAGATTTACTATGAACTATTCTTTATAATGGTATCAATGTTAAGTTAAATTAATAAATCAATTAAAATTTGATAACAATATCAAATAACAGGGTTGGTATTTTTCAAAGCCAGATAGATATCTCATCTTCAAAACAGGTTTAGTAATCTTGAGGGAATGAGGAAAACAGGTAGACAACAGGAGTTACCTGGTGGTTTCATCATGGTAGGATGTTCAACTAGAGTAGTAATACCATCAAAATGAACTTTCCAGTTTTCAGACATGTTTTCCACAGTGTCAGTGATGTTATCATAACTACAACAATTAAAATATATGACAATATAAGACTTTATATAGCCTAAAATCTTTCTTCTGAAATACAGAAAATCATAAAATAGATTAATAAAAGTAAAAAAAAAAAAACTTTTAAAAATATCCATGACCAAAAATAATTTTTAGTAAAAATTTTCATGTAGCTTGTTTTAATGACTGGTGATAGAAAGATAAAAAAAATTGTAAATAAAAACCAGTAATAGATTTGACTACTGAATTTATTTTATCAAGAAAGCAAGAGTTTATACGATTATCTCCCATTAAATAAAGTTATGGCCAAATCAGTTGCGTCATCATGTTACATTTGATGTCTAGTTCATTTAGTAAAAATAATTCATATGGTTAAAAATATCCTAGGAAGCACGATTATTAGCAACTTAGCCATTTGTACATAAATGTATGTAAAAGGCATTTTACTTGATAGCAGTAGAGTGTCAATTAAAAATGTTAGGAAAATTTCTAGTTTTAGAGATGTCCTCTTTTTTAAACACTCTTAATATACATTATATATGCCATCTTGTATTTTACAGTGCTTGTGAGCATTTTTTCTGGAAAAATGCTCTTAAATAAAACCTGCATAATCAATTTTTACTTTTTTGAAGGTGAAAAATATTTGAGTAACGGATCCATTATTTGTATACACCTCTCAACTAAAAGGGAAAGAGTAAAAAACGTGTAGAAATAGCTGAAACATGAATGCCTGTTTAGTTTCCAGTGAAATTTTATATCACTTCAAAAAAAAAAAAGTAAATAAATAAATAAAATAAAAAGTTATTTTTTCTTTCATTAATTAACTGTTTAACTTTAAACTAGCATGGTGTATTTTTAGATGCTGTTTATAAAATTCAAAGCTGTTAGCATGGAGTCAAATTTAAAAGTTTCGATATTATGAAAATATTATATAAAATCTTTAGTAAAACTTATACAGTTTATAGTGTGATGAGAGCAATATAAGAAGTGATAATAAAATAACTTCTTATTTAACAGAATAATTAAAACAAAAATAAAGCTATATTAAATGTAAAAACTTACTTGTCATCAACCAAGATATACTCATCCCACCATTCAATTTCAGGTGTTTCACCTTCTCTCTTAAAAAAAAAAAAAAACAACAACAAAAGTAGCAGCATTGTTTAAAGAATATAAGAAATAAAGAAACTTAAATATTCAATTAACAAGAGTCATTTTTATGAAACAATCAGTATGCAATCTATTCTGCAAGCTTTTGTTTTTGATACATTGATCAGTCAAATTGATCACATTTTTAAAGTGTCTAGCATTTAATGATCAGTAACAATATAGCTTTAAATTCAAAATAGGAAATAAGTTATGGTATAAGATTAGCTAAATGCAAAAGTAACATTGTTACTTATATAGATGTATTGACCTCAGTATTATATGAGAAGATTATGGCTAAAACTTCATTTAATCAGCTTCTTCATAAATTACAACACCCACTCCATGAATAAGATATAACATTACTTTTGTTTTACTCAGATTTGACATTTAATAAAGATATATTCATAGAAAAATATTCAATTTACTATAAAAATGTGAGAAAAAAAAAAAGAAGTGTAATCTTTGAATAATGCTATGTAATTCAAAAGCAGAAGATTTGTGAAAAACTGTATAGGAGTCTATTACTGGTCAAAATTAAGAATTCTATTTTTAACTACAAACTGCACAAGAGTAAAATTCATTAAGGAAGAAAAAGAAAACTATTGTTCAGATGAACCTTGAATATTAGAAAGGTCTCTGTGTGATTAAATGAGAAATTGGAAAAAAAAAAACCTACTGCAACAAGTCAGTAGTGTGTATGTAAATCAACTAAATGATACCTGAACAGCTAGAAGAAAAAAACATTTAAATCAGTTAACATTCAATAAAGACAGCAGTAAGAGACGGAGATTTTAAACTGTTTGGGCATCGTCTCATCTATTAAAGTAATTCTTAGTTACTAAAATTTTGTCAGATGATTGACGTACCCAAATTTGTGTTTAAACTGCCTACAGCTTACAATCAAATATGGCAGATTTTCATTTATTGTGTACAGAGCAATTTGGAGCATGTGGAGAACATCCATTTAGAAAAATACATATACATTTCTCAGGATGGACATCTTTCAATATCCAATGTACACATTTGGCCAAATTTGATAGCATTTAATTTGGATTTGTTTGTGAATCTGGGAAACATTAGTCGTATAGAGTTAGTTATCCAAACACTAACAATCTGAATTTTGGATTATTCTAACAAAATTTTAAATTTAAACTCCATCACTTTTACAAGGAATGGAGTTTATTGGTTTATTGCTATTCCCATGTCTGTGAAGAGAAAATTGGTTGGTTGGCTTGGTCTCAGTTGGCCTCTTTAAGCAATGTTGAAATAATTTTAACAAACAAAATGAAAGCAAAATCTGTAGTGGTATTGTTATTAGCTCTACAATTTTGCTCCGAGCATGTATTTGTCACAGATATAGTTCAGTGTCATTCCTACATCTGTGAATAAAAAGTAAGCACTATTGACAATCGGACTGAAACAAGATTTTTACTGTGTTTTGATTGTGGTGAAAAGACAGCAAACATTGGACAAGCAACAGTATCTGACATCAAGAAGCCAAGATTGGTGGGTGATTGAGAAATTTATCAACCAAAGTGACACTTCATATGCATTAAAATGAAAATCCATGAAGCCACTAAAAAATGAACAATTCAACAAAGCTGTATTTTTATGGTTTTTCACAACAGCATGAAAAAGTATTCCGGTTTCATGCCTGATGTTACAAGAAAAAGCTACTAGTTTCCTTGAATGAATCCACAGCTTTGAAGCACATCATGAATCATATTACAGCATAACATCAGGTTGGTTAAAACATTTCAAAGATTAACATGGCATTAGATAATTTTCTATTCTTCAAGAGAAAAAGTCTGTGGATGACACCATTATTACAACAGAAAGTACAATAACTGTACCATGCAGAAAGTAGATTGTTTTAGTGTGTAATGCTGAAGAAAATGTTGAAGAAAAGCAAGTATCTGGACAAAGTGAAAATCATTAAGAATTTCCTTTTTGTCAATGGTACAGGTAATTCATAAATTACCATTTGTTTGTATTGGGTGTTATGATAATCATCATTGCTTCAAGAACTTATCTGTGAAGAACAAATAACAAAACAACACATGGATGAGAGATAGCCACTTTTTCATCATGGTTTCTGGATGAATTTGTACTAGTTGTCTGATCCTATTTACTAAGTGTTAGAGTCAAACAATGTGCCCAATTGTTGGCTGATAATGCAAGGTTATACAATATGAAAGACAGCCAGTTAAAATTGTCAGATGGGTTATCAAATGCTTGTTTTTCCTATTGAACACTACACCAGTAATAAAGCTGGTTGACCAAGAAATCAGTACAAAAATCAAAAAATATTATAGCGGTAATGTTGTGTGCTGTTGTCAGTGAAAACAATGCAGACAAAAAAGTCAAATTATCAAATCATTCAGTGAAGGACACTTTATTCATGATAACTGATTATGACAAGAGGATCAAGCCTTTAACAGTCACAAGGTATTGGTACAATGGCTAGCATGTTGGTAGTTTGTTGTAGTAAATAAAAGACTGTCAACTGATAGTAGCAACTGCAATAGATTTCTTGTTTCTCGGCAGCAACACTTGTAGCCAAATCGCAGTTCACACGATAGTCCAACGTAACAGTCCAACACACACCGTAGAAACGACAAAATGGGGTCACAAATCCAATCTTCACTTCTCACCAACAACAACGTGTGTTCGTTTCACAGCTCAAAAAAATCATCTCCTTTTATAAGTGAAAAACAGCGACTTCTGTTCACAGAGAGAATTTTCTGATTGGTCACGCCATTCAGGGGAGGGAAGAACATTAGCATAGCTTCTAGTCATTGATGTAGATTTTTGCTGACTACTTTTTGGTAATTTTTCTTTGGCAGATCGCACACAAAACACAAACTTTTTTTCGGGGTAGCTGATTATCTCTTTCGCTATATAGTTAAAACAGACAAGAGGAGACTTGACCAGGTCAGAGGGTGACTACTGAAATTATTGAATTGCAGACAGCTGGGATTAGGAGACTTTGTAAAGGAAGTAATACTCTTGGGAAAGGTATGAATTCTGTTCTCCTCCCAGTTCTGGATAAATAGCAGGACAGACTGGGTTCTATAGCCTTGGATGGCAACTGGCCTAGGAGAAAGTAATTCTGAATTCAAAAACTGTATGTAGCCCTGACAGAGTACATACTATACAGCTAAAAGAAAGGATCATTTGCATTGGCTCAAAGATATTGACTACAGTCGAATGATAAAAAAAGGTATCAATTCATACTTGGCTAAATTGTGATGCCATAGGAATAGATACAATGATAATCAATATAATCATGGAAAAACAACAAGCAAGTAAAGAATTTATGCAGGATATGGAAAATCAGGTAGCAACACCTTATGCAGATTTCATTAATGAAGGTAACAAAAATTTGCAACTTTTCATAAAGCCTAAATCGATGCACCTTTGTCATATGCCAATGTTCTCAAACTCAAAGAAACACAAAAACATCTAGCAACAGTGACAACACCTCACTTTATTTACACGATCTTAGATTAATTCAATACACTGCCTGTCCATATACATAAATATATATTTTTATAATTATACCATAATTCTTTCAATTTGCAATTCCATATTTTTGTTATATAAAAAAGACAGATAATGTGATTTTATTTGTAAAATATTTTACAAATTAAATAAAAAATCTTTTGAATCAGTTTTTATTGTTTGTTTTATTGTTGGCTTCCTTTTTATGATCAGATCTGAAATCTGAATAATCAATTATCGGAACAAAACAATACCCATCCATTTTGTTTGGATAACCAATATTCTAAAACAATCTTGATTAAAGGAATATATTTCAGGATGTACAACTGGAGAAACTCAGATTTCCCATTGAGCAAGTTTAAACTAAATGTTTATATTTATTAGAAAAGAACCATTCATAAAATTGTTTACAGGATAGAAAATTGGCAAAATAGTTACTAACAATGTCATCAAAATAATTTCAAGTAAATGCATTAATAATAGTTCTAGATTTAATGAGAAATTTTTCCTTTATGCTCCATGTGAAAAAAATTTCTGTGGTTTTACAACCAACATCTCTCCTGTAATAGGGACTGGTAATTAAAATTAGAAATTTTAGCATATAAAGGTGACCAAAGTGCTTCAATAAATCATCATCTGATGAACATTTCTTAGTGAAATATAAAAAAAAAAATTATTTTGCAAATTATACTCACAATCTCTTTTTTTGGTGCAATGGTAGCTAACCGGGCTGCAGAAGCAATACCAGTTTTCTTTGCTGCCTGAGCAATTTCATTCTGTAACTTTTCCAATTGAGCCTAAAAGAAAAAAAAAATTCAATATTTTATTGTAATTCTGCTTGTCCTTCCCATAGTTAGCATGACAGTTACACTCTGCCAATACCTCATAAATAAATCATTTTGATTGAGTGAAAACAAGACATATCAGAGACCCTACTTGGTTTCAGTGAAGAAATGAAACAAAGGGAAGTGTTTAATGATTGTTTCAGTGAAATGGAAAGTTGTTAATTTTAAATCTTTTCATTTGTATCCCTTTACTTATGATTATTATTGTAATATTTTGTTAAAGTTGTTATTCACAAATATTTAATGATGAGATGGGAATTTCTACAGATATTTTATTATTGTAGAACTTGTTATGAGGTTATTCAATAATTAACTTAAGAATTAAGATTCATCAAAAACTTCAAATAGGAAAACCATGAAATTTTCATGGGTATTTCTAGTAAATTCTGTTCATAGAAACCTATAATCAGAAACTTAAATGAAAAAAAAAAAAAAAAAAAAAAAGTTTTTTTTTTTTTTAATTTATAAATTTTATAATGCAAAAATATACAAAAAGATTTTTTTTTACTGCATAGAAATTCATGTAAATGTGAATGTCAGTTTTTCAGATCAAATCAATATATTTTTTTTTTCTGGATGCATAAGATTTTAAAAAATTTCCATGAATATGCTGCCTACATTTATCCTTATTAAAATTTCACAAAAATTAAATTTTAATCAACTTTTGTTAACTAGCAGTATTTAAGATCTTCTGAGTGACAATTTGTTTTCAAAAGTTTGTGAATACTATAGTGTGCATACTTGTCTCATTAACTGCAGTAATAAAGTATATTTAAGTAACATATTGATTTTAATTCACATGAAATTTCAGAAGAAAAAAAAATTCATTTTTTTGCTTATATTTTGCAAAGAAGGTTTAATTTAATAAAATGAAAATTTTGTTGATTGGGCTAACAAAGAAAACCATAGTTGGCAATTGTGAAGCTAAGTGAAATCATGATTGCTGATTCTTCAGATGGTGAGGTCTGACAACACAAACACTACCTCAATATACAACATTTTTGTATTTGGTGATGAGCATTTTGTATTGTTCTCTGATCACGTTTACAACACTTGCATTTCCATCTTCAATTTATATGCTCTTATAAGTTATGTTAACACAGAAATTTCTGGTTTCATCATGTAATATTTCCTTTTCTTCAGAGTAATACTTACTTTTATCAATCAATGTACATATCTAGTAAATCAGTTGTTACATACTGATCTACTGATGGTAATAGACAAAGGTAAAAAAAAAAAAAAGACAAATTTTTCACAGCAAATGCAACAGAGTAGCAAGCGATATTCTTTACTTTTAAACCAACAAACCAAAGTCTTAAATTTGATGAGTAAATCATTAAAAATACTAATACTTTGAATAAAACTGGCTTACCTTTGTTCGTAATCTCTGAGCCAGTTGTTCAAATTTTCCACGTTCATGGAACTTAAATCCTCTTCGAGGCCTTTGGGCAAGTTTTGTCCTAAATAAACAAAATCAAATATAGAGTAACTATGCTTACCAAAATGTTCTTTATTAATGGTTAATTTCATTCACAAAGTGCTCATACAACTACATAAATTTGCATATTCATATTATTATTAATGTCTATATTTCTTAAGTGTACACAAGATCACAATACTCCCATTGTTACTAGTACTTTTAAAAGTGCTAATACCATCTTAGCCAACAAAACTATCACTGAATGTTAGTTGAAGAGGATGGTGTTTAGCATTATTTATTAAATTTTAAGATATATAAATAATTAGGCAAAAGGTAAGTGAAGAGAAAGACATTATATAAAATATATAGAAATGGATCTTACCCAACTCTGGCATCAAAGAATCTACTTTCACTTATTTCCTCTGGTGGCTTCTCTATAAGGCCTTTGAACTGCTCTCGGCGCTTGGCTCGGATATTAGCCTGAAACAAAATGACAAGGAATTCAATAGGAAACAAAGGTGGCTTTTGCAAAACTCACATCAGCTTCATTAATCTTGCATGTCAATGAAACAGATCCAAGAACTTTGCTGTTCAGCAAAAAGTGTTTTACAATAGAGAATCATCTGACAGTATAATCTATCTGAACTTTTAACTTCCTTTTTCTGAGATCACTTCCTGTGAACAAATTCCAATGGTTTGACAAAGTCTGAACGTTAGAATTAATAAAACATGATATAAATGCTAAATTAGGATAATGAATAAATTTAAAACTTACAGATGTTAATTATTGTATAAAATTTTAAATGACTGATTTAAACAGATATGTTAGAATGTAACCCTATAGAATTCATTAAGTAACATAGATTTTTAAAAATGCATAAGCATCTTGAATGCATAAAATGTTATCTACTAAACATTAAATTAGTCATTTGTTACTAAAATGGAGAAAAAAAGAAGACTAAGAGATAAATGTGAAGAATGAAAAAGAAAAGAGAGAGGTAATAATAATAGTAAGCATTTGTAGTAGAAAAAAGTCAAACCAGCTTCTATTGTAAATGAAAGTTTAATCATGCAGCAAAAGAAGAAAAAGAAATAGTACATATATGTTTATAATCCTAGCAGTATAATCACAGAGCTATAGAAGTAGAAAAGTGAAGAGAGGGAAATGAAAACAATATTGATGACAGACATGCAAACTATTTTGTGAATATTCTGTTGTAAGTAGGAAAGACTACTCCAACTGTTTAAGTGAGTGAGCACTGGCAGACAGGGTTGCCTGTATTTTTCATGACAACATTTTAAGGAAGTTTAGTTTATATTGTATAGAAAAAGATACATCAACTACCTTATATTGTATAGAAAAAGATACATCACCTTCAATGTTGGTGTATGGTGCTGCAGTTGGATGGCTTGACCAGTTTTGGCATCAATGGTTCGGCCTTCTTCATCCAGAATCAGTGGAGTAGGTCTTAAATAAAGGTTATATACACAGTATTGATAATCTTCACATGAATGGTAAGTTTTTCTTCTTTTTTTGTTTTGTTATGTGAAATTAATTATTAGAATGAAAGTATTTTGGTATGTCTTCAGACTAAACTTAAGTAAAAATTTGTTTTAATACTCTCGATTGCTGCTTATTTAAAATTTGATTTATTTGCTTGCAGAAATTAACAATAATCCAGTTATTGAACACCTAGAGTTGATAATTTATGATAAATAATGATATACATAATACATCAAATATTTTTTAATTTAAAATTCATTTTATAGCAAAATTTAAGAAAAAATTAAATATCTCAATAGACAGTTATATAGTAATCTAAAATGTAATCACAGAATATAATATTGTTTGTATTTGAGAAAGAACAAATCATGAAGATAAAATCTTTGTAGACTAAGAAAAATTGAGTAAAAGAGGAAATCTAGGTTTCAGTTTAATAATTTTAATATTCATCTGATCCTTATGTGAAACTAAGATGAATAAACATGTTAGCTTTGCTACATTTAATTAGTGTTCAGGCCAATGGGAAATATAATATGAAAGTTTAATAGTTTAACAAGTACAGGTTGATCTGCAGATTAAAGTGAGATAAAAAAAAAAAACAAAAAAAAAAAAACATACTTACTTGGAAGGCTGTATGTTTTTCCTATGAGGGCAAAAAAGGATATTCATTACATATTTAGCATAATAAACAAAAGTAAAATTTTTTACTAATTTAAAATGAAATAAAAATAGAATGGAAAATTTGAAGTGTGATGTGATGATATATTTTCACTCGCATATTTTTGCTCATTCAGACACAAACTTATAACAGTGTCAGCTGTAACCTACCAAGGAAGTATTTAAACTAATTAAGACTATCTCCTAAAAACACACATATAAAGCTATCATGTAAATATAATAAGTATTAAATCAGAGTATAGACTTGATAGCTTTAACAGGGAAAACCTCAGCGGTAATAAAATACTTAATTGCAGATAGGAAATTGTATTACTAAAAAGATGTTAAACTGATGAAACTGGGAAAAATAAATACAAGATATAGATGGCAATTTCTTATACTGGATATAGACTTATGAGGAATATCTAACATAATTTTAGAGAATTAAGTATTGCTCCTACTGAATTAATACAAGTAGAAGATAAATTGCTTATTTTTCAAAGAACTATCTAATGCTATATAGAAAATTATACTTAACATCCTTAAAAATTTTACTAACAAGAAGGTAATTTCATTACAGGTTGGTTATACTTCATTATATAAGTAGAAATTGTTTCAGTGAATCACCATTATAATTATAAATAAGCAAAAGATATTAAAAATTACTGAAATAAATGTATTAAAAATCATATTTGGGGTTTAAGTGATTTTACTATTTAATTTTTTTTACCAGCATTTTTTTCATCATATTTATGTTGCTTTTTATGAAAACTCTCAGATAGTTCCATGTTTCATCTAAAAACATTTGATTAATTTTAATTAATAAGTAGCATAAACTAAATAAAGATAATGTAGTAAGCAAAAATAGTTGATATCATTCATAGCCATAATAAAAATTAACTCACAGAGTGTTATACATATGAGGATGAAGTCTGTAACCTGACATAAAGTTAACTGAAATTTGATGTGAAACTTTAATCACAAAGTTTGATGTATGCGATTGCTATTCAGCATCAAGTTAAGTTCATTGACATGGAAAGAGATTATGTTGAAAAATAAACATTTCTTTTGTAAATGTTTTTTTTAATAATTAGTTTTCAACTATTTTTGTTTATTATCTTTATTTGGTTTAAGGATTACTTATGCATATATGTATATAATTTTCACATTCATGATTCAATAATTTTATTAATAATAGCTATAACAATATTTTTTTGCCTTATGTTATAGATTTTTATATTTTTAATGAGTTGTTTGTTAATTTGAACTATTGTAATCACCAGCATGAATCCTACAATCCTATTTATATTTTAGTTGAATATATAAGTAGAAGTAGTACTTTTTTGTACAATGTAACAATCATATCACATATGTAACGGAAGCCATAGGCAGCTGAATACAAAATATTCTACAACAAAAAGACATTGAAAGGTCTTCATTTGAATTTAAATTAGAATTGTTGAATAGGGGAAATATGTTGTATCAACAGTGATTAGGTGTGTGTATTCAACTTTAGCATTTATAGAGTAAAATATAATAACTGAATAAAGAGTTGTTAAGAGTAATTTAATAATATTTGAAAATTAGTGATCAAATTTAAATCACTGTGCATAAATAAATGTGTAATAATTTATAAAACTCTTCATAGCACTAACATAGACTCTTATTCTCCAAAATGTTATTAATAATTTACACTTTATATTACATTCCAAAATAATCTTAAATACTATCTTCATATAAAAACACTAAGAAATGAATGAATCACAATTTTTCACCAAACACTTCAATATTTTAATCAAATCCAGACATTAAAAAATACTGCTGAAATCAAAACTTACTGTGTAACTGGCAGAGTGACCCCAGGTGTGCCAGCTGATAAACCTGTGAGTTGTGCTTGGATTCGAGCTTGTAACTCAGCTGCTCGTTTAGCCTTCTCGACAGCATCAGTCATCAACTGCTGAGTCTGAGAGGGTGATGGCTGAGGAGATGGAAAGAAAAAAAAAGAGATTTCATGAAAATATTTCAAAAGGTAAATTTATTCTAAATGGTGAAAAAAGGCTCAACAAAAAAGAGGAATTTATATTACAAACATTTATTAAGTTACAAAAGCTCACATCTAAATATAGTTGATGCTGAAGGCAATATTCATATAAGATAAACTGAACTGTCTGACCTACTGTTTTGATTAGGTCATATTTTCTTTTTTAATCATTTCACCCCAAACAAGGTGAAAATACCACTAGGATGCATGGGGTGAAAAAGAATAAAACTTTAGTGAAAAGAAAGAACAATAAAAGAACAGGATTCAGAAAAACAAAATACAGTGATTGGTATTGCATTTTTGCAGATTGTAGGTAGGAGTTCCACAGAAAAAATTTGGAGGCATTAAAATTTACAAGTCATTCCATATCCCAGTTAACCACTGATTAGAGTGGGCAGTTGTCAATTTTACTTTGTCAAACTGGTCAGGCTTGCTACTAAAGCAGGTGTAAAGAGTTGTGTCATCTTCATAAATACCTAGTTAGGAAGTGATGACACCGGAAAGATTGTTGATGAAGATAAGAAACAATGTAGGTCCAAGGATAGAGCCCTGGGGGATAGAGCTTATGAAGAAGGCCAGAATGCCAAACCCCATCAAACACCTGTGAGATATCTAGAGCCACAGCCTGAGCTTTGCCATTCTTATCTAAAGCTTGAAAGACAAATTCAGTTATAGCTGTTAGCACAATGGGGTTTAGCAGTGCTGGATTTACATATGGGCTGCAGCCCAGAAGCCCCAAAACTTGAGGGGCCTCCAAGGGTCTTCTAGTCTTGGCCCCCTAAAGGAAAAAAAAATGATAAAGATATAATAACAGAGGAGATTTGTTTATTTTCAGATTTAATGAGGCTCTTTGGAACTAATTTGAAACAATTTAGAGTATTTGGGCCCCTCTAGTTGGAGTGGGTCTTAAATTCGATAGGGCCCCATTTAGTTTTTAAGGCATCTTTTTTTATATACATATTTCCATGTATTACACCAAAAAAGCACCATCTAAAAATATATTGTTTTTTTATAGACATAGTAAGGAAAGGGGTCTCCAAATTCTATTAGCCCGGGGGCCTCTTAATGCCTAAATCAGGGCCTTGGTATGTATAAATTTTTGCTTGCTTGCAAGGGTGTACATGTTTAACAAATAAATGTAAAATAATTATATTTTCATGTCTAATAACACTATCTACTATGTAAATATATTTTCATATCCAGTAACATGATCTAATATGAAAATATATTTTCACATCCAGTAACATGATCTAATATGAAAATATATTTTCACATCTAGTAACACTATCTACTATGTAAATGTTTTCACATCTAGTAACACTATCTACTACATAAATGTTTTCACATCTAGTAAAACAATCTACTATGTAAATATATTTTCATATCTAGTAACACTATCTAAATATATGAAATAAAAATATTAGGAAGGATGCTTCCATTCTCAAATTAGAATTTTGAACTTGTTGCAGAAGATAAAATATGAAGGATGTTAAAAAGTTCTTGGCACAACCCACTTCCCAAAATCTGATGAAATGACTGCACATTATATTTTCTTTCTTGAAAGAACTGTTTACTCAAGCTAAGAACTTGTCTGACATAACCTTCATATATAATGATGATATAAAATAATATAAAAGATAATATAACAAGGAAGATATCAATAGCAAATATGTAACTCGCATATGATCACAATCACTGTCATTTTGGAAATGGTGAAAAGTGTTTAAAATTAAAGAACAATTATTTCTACAATGAAATCTGTTAAGTGTGTATTGGAATATCAAAATTCAAGTAAATCTTTCATAAAGAAGGCATTTCAAATAGTAGTTGGAGTTTTATATATTTCTTTGCAAATATGTCAGTTTGTAACACATCTTACTGCATATGCAAAAGTTTCTCATTTAATATATGAGTACAAAGAGGAAATAGGAGTGAGTTTGTCCCCTTTTCTTGAAGCTTGGGACATAGATTTTTTTAAATGAATAGCAAAAAATGATTAAATATCCTGAGTAATTTTTATTTTACTTCCTGTGTAGAAATCATAGAAATTAAAACCAAATTAAATATTTCCATTCTATTGATATTAAAATCGCAATTTTCTATCTTGTTGCCATATTCATACATCTTTATCTTTAATGGGATATACTGAAAAGTTCTTAACCTGATTGAAAAGAAAAAAAAATTCTGTTTGATTATTTAGATAGATTGGGAAATGGTTTGGCCTGATAAAATTTCAAGTCATTTATTCCTCCATATTTGCATTAGAGCCAGTGTGCATCATGTCATAGATATAGTAATTGCTTTTCATAAGTTGTTGATAATATAAATTTCTGAAATGGCATTGAATTGAACCCATTGTAGTGCAGTGGAAGAATGTTCTAATTTTTTAATATATTAGAAGTTTGCTAGAAATGATTAAATATTTTTCTCAATAAAGATATGTATATATTAATTCATAAATACATGTAGATCTTTCAATGAATAAGACAATACCGCAACAATAAGAGACTAGAGATTTTAATGAATTGCATTCATTATTATAGTGTTCTGCTTTAAGATAAAACATTAGTTTAAAATTTGCTCTTGAAGTGATGTATTATTAATTTTTTTTTAGATTTGGAACCAAAGTTTTTCCCTTGATAGATGTTTATAATGTGACAATAAAAAATTGAAAGAAAAAAAACCCAAAAAAACAACCACGACTTACCAAACTGCCTAAAGAGCCAGGAGATATGGTTGGAGTGTGTATACTAAGCTGGGCTTTGCGTTCTTGAATCATTCTTTGTGCATTTGCCATCATTTCTTTTATCTATATATACATTTAAAGAATGTAATAATCATAAATTATGATAGATCAATTTTAATAAATGTTAATGAACATAAAAATAAACCAGATGGATCGCAGCTTATACTTCCAAGTTTTAAAATGTATTCTCGTGTGGAAAAAAAAAGAGAGAGAAAAATATTGCTAAATAGGTAAACTGTAAAAAAATTATAAAAATGCTTATTTTATAAATATCTCATAATAATTAACAACAGGCGGCTTTAACTATAAAACAGAGTTGTATGCAATTGGTTAAACATTTTTATTGATATATCTATACATCAATTTCAGAAATAATTCAACACTTCACTATGTTAAAACTGCTTTACCATAAAATACTTTTTTAAATAAAAATTTGATCAAATTTAATTGGAACAGGTTATCAATTTGCATATAAACATTCTTAGATAAATTACTTGTAATGAGATAAGCTGTTAATAAATAATGTTATCACAAAATATTTTACATTTAACTCCAAATTATCTTTTGACATAAATAAGCACTAAACTTGTTATTTCATTGTTAAATATCCAAATTTCTTTTACTGAAATAATGACAGCTTCATGTACTCAACTTTGGTCTCTTTTCTGTCAAATATTATGTGGTTAGAAGTTTGAGGATAAAAAATTTAGAAGATTCCCAGATTATGAGATTGAAAGATTTTGAAGCATACACAATATATATTGTTTATAATGTTTGATATATATATATATATCTATCAAAGATGAGAATAAAAATATTCCATTTTTGGCTGAAAATCACTGCATCGTGGTAGGACATGAAAGAGCTATCTCTCACCCTAAAGATCCTGGGTCTTACAAAAGTGTTCTCTAAACTTTTGTGTGTTTTTGCTACTGCAATATTTGAATTTAAACTTTTCATCTTCAAAATACTTATGTCATTGAAAAGAAGAATGATTCTACAGAACTGATATAAAAATTATTTTTAAGCTTTTCATTGAAACAGACTTTTTTAAAAAGAGCTTAAAATGTGTCTATGTTTTGAAAATGTATGTGTCCATGTACTATTTCAAAATTACATGGATTTTGCTCAAAGTTTACAACTTTAAAAATCTAATATATAACTAAATGAAAATTAATGAAATTTTTGGTACTGTAACTTCCAGTAGTCTGTCTGTCGCACCCTCTAAAATAGCCATACATTGACTGATTGAAACCAATTTTGGGGAGAAGTGCAAACAGATAAAGGAGTACAAAGTACAGTTGGTTTTACTAGGGTGCATAGCTTAGTACAATAAATTTTCATTCATATTTTTTTAAAAAAAAGTCATTTAACATACAAAATACTTCCACCATTTTAAAAACAACTGAACAGAATGTAAAGTTTGTATATCTCAACAAAAAATGTTAATGATAACTTCAACAATAATACTGAGAGGATATCAACATGCATCAGTGTGTTGCAAAAAAATTCTAGTTTAAAATTTTTTTATTGTATTTATGAAAAGGTCGATTTAAAAAAAAAAAATTAAAAATTAATTTTCCACCCTCTATTTAATCTTATTTTATGATACTTCATTATGAAGAAGTTCAAAATTATGAAAACACACTTCTGAATTATTATCAATGATCTATTTTAGAAATTTAATTAAATCTATTATTAGTTTCACTGAAGGTAAAAGCCCAAATTATAGCCTTAAAGAAAAAAAAGAAAGGGATTGATGGAAGTTCTTTTGCATTAAATTTTTCAAAGATTTATGTGTTTAATATGTAAAACTTTTAAATGTTAAATTCCTGGAGGATTTAAAAAAGAAAAAAAAAAGAAAAAGAAAAAAAAGAAGAATTTATTTTTTTTATTAAAAATTTATTTTTTTCATAAAGATTGACGTTATTGCATAAAATAAAAATTTTCTCCACAGATTTAGACAAATTGGAGAAATGACAAATGATGTCAAGATCCATGAAAAATTCTCATTCCTGATATATAAAAATTACAATATTGAAATTAAACTGCTAGTACCTATACATATGTACAATAGGAGAAAATAAAAACATATGTACCTTATCTGCTGTGAGTTGACCTGGACTGGGATTCCCTGGTCCAGGGATGTTAACATTTTCATCATCTATAAACCTTCGGCGTTTTCTACTAGCTGTTTCTGTTTGATTTTCTTCTTTTTCCACTTCCTGAAAAAAGGAGTAATGAAAAATTAATGGAAGAAACTAAGAATAAAAGAAATAAATATAAAATAAAACATCATTATGTAAACTGAGAAAAATTGTTTAATTAGCAATTACAGTTAAAAATAAATAAATAATTTAGGCACTCAAAGTTTGCCATAACTAAAATACATACTTTACGTTTTTTAGTTTTTGACTGCTTACTGGTAGTTTTGTAATCATCCCAGGCTTCAAATAATTTGTCTGTAAAGCGTGATGCTTGGTCATCAAGAATGGTTGACAACTTATCTGTTAAATACATAAAAAAAAATTTTTTAAAAAGTGTATGAGAATTTATTTTATCAAAAATATAAATAAAAAACAAAAAAAATGCAAATTTAATAAAAGGTGAGATAATCGGTATAAAATAAAATCTTTCAATATGAATAAATCAGTTTAAACCAATGAATGCCCAAGAGAAAAATTTAGAAAAGTTAAGAGAATTACTCAACTAAAAAGACCATAAACTATAACAAGGTCATAAACAAAAATATCAAAACTAGCTAAAAAAAAATTTATACCAATAATTTTTCATAATTAACAAATAATCACCAAAAAGTTAAAAACTAAAGAATATGATTGGAGCAAAATTCAAAATCAAAATTATCATATCTCATATCTTTGAATTAACTTTTCCTATATTTCTTCAAATCAAAGTTTACTAGCTCAACATCAACCAAATAGCTTAATAGATATATTAACAGATACACCCTCAATACACCCACATTTTATGAATGCAAATTTGAATTGGAAGGTATGGATAAAAAAAAATGTCAACTGCATCTTTAATAGAATGGCACTTACAGTAAAATTCAATATATTGTGAATAAACATTTTAGTTTTATGAAGTTTTCAAGAACATTTTCTTGTGCCTGTCTCTTCTAAACTATTGGGCAATGTATAATAAATTCATGAAATAATTAGAGAGAATATGTACACCTGCCATCTCTCAATTCAGATATATCATACCAGCATTCTTTGGTGAGAATTTACACAAACACCTCCAGGGTGATATTTTCCTCTTACACTGCTGCTAGTCAGTGGAAATTCAACAATTAAAATCTATTACCAAAGGAGATACATTTTCATCATAAGCATTCTAATTTGGCCTTTATAATCTACCATAAGACAATCAGTGATTCTATAAAATTTAGAATCAGATTTCAATAAAAATATCCTAGAAAATATTTTTAGTATCCGATCATTATCAAGAATTAAAGCTCTTTTGTGAAATATTAACTGGTAACTGTTTATTGTTTACAGTCATAGACCTGGAATAACTTGCAGTACAAGGATTAATAGTACAAGCCTGTTGTAAAAATTTGCATGAATAACATTTTTGAGAAATTGAAATAAAACAAATCAAATATATTTTCAGTGGTTATATTTTGTATTTTATTTAATGTTTCTGCTCATAAATCAAGGATTTATCTGCTGCTTGTCAAATTGACAGATATATAGCTTATAATTTTCTAACTAGGAACTTGTAAAAGTTTGTGTGGTAGAACATAAACAACTTATGGAGTTGGTCAAATTAGAAGAATCATAAAATTTGGCAGGAACAAACCATTATGAACTACACTGACAGAAAATAAAATTTCAATGAATGAATGATGCTGATTTTGATCCGAGTGCATGCTTATAGGGCAGTAGATATTCTGATACAATTTTCAGTTTTTGAGCCATCTTGTCACATAATAACACTCATACCAATGTACTGTCTGTGAGGTATAGACAATGATGCATATTACAATAAGGCTTGGTGAAGTGAAAGGGTCCTGTGTAAGCAGGTGTATGCTATGGAGATGCAAATGTCTTTTTGTTCAATTAAAACTGTCAAAGAGGTCAGATTGTGTTGCTGATCAGATATCCACTTACGCCACAACGCCATTGTGCTTATTTTTATTGCAGTCGTGAAATCGCATGAATGATAAAATAGTGCTCTGTTGTGTTCAATGAGGCGAACAGATTCTGCCTTTATGAAAGTGATGATTATTTGCATGTGTGACACAGACCTGAGAAGCAATATCTTCCAGAGTGGGATCATCTTCAATATACAACCCCAATTCCTGGCATCAGGAGCTTGTCAGTTACAACTCTCACCTGGCTTTTGATGTTTGTCAAGGTTAACACAGAACAGTGCTATGTACACCAGAACATTGATTAACCTATTCTGTTGCCATTTCTAGCCCCAGAACAGGTTGGCTAATGTTTTAGTCAGATCAAGAAGGAAATGCCAGCTCACATGATGACTGTGCTTATTCAACATGTCCTGTTCAACAAATTCCATAGACAGCTTTGTATTCCATTGGTAAGGAGGAAGTTCCACTTGGCTCCTTCCCCAAAATTGTTAATTTAAGGAACAGATTCCCAAGATGATGCTTCCCCAACCCGATCACTAGGAACATTATTTATCCTACATATCCTCATAATATACACTTATTTCCTTTTTGCAATCTACAGTAACCTCGTTTAGTAACTCTCTACCTTGAGTAGCTCTTGAGCCTTGTATTAGGTGATCAATAATAATATTACAAAAAAAAAAAAAAAAAAAGCATGATTATCAACCCAGTTCCCCATCAAATATGTATGGGATATTATACATCTGTTCAGTTAGCTTATCTAGTCTTAGTGTATAGGTTAAAGAGGAGGTATGGAATAATGTATTGCAGAATTATATTTATCATATATAAGATTGTATGCATACAAGTGTACAAGCCTTTGTTAATAAATAATTGGTACATGCAGTATATTAATATGGCCTCAGATAACTGCTGATACACCCATTATTTTGGAGCTTCTGCATGTATTGATCTGTATATATAATTATTTACTGTAATCCAGCTATGTTACCTGTACATTTAGACTAAAACACATTCAGAGTGTTGTAATTTTATCTTGTCAGTGTATTAGATTTTTTCTGAAGTTCTGAGATAAATTGTAAAATAATTAATATTCTTTATCTAAAGAGGTTTTATCTTTCCTTTCAATACTTTGGATAAGGTATTCTCTAATCATTTTTAAGGTTATATTGCATCCATCAATCTACATTTTATCCAGTTTGTTTTTGTCAAATTTCTGCCATATTCTCTATAAGAACAATTCACACATTTGAATATCAAAAATTTGTGCAGATAATATAAATTGTTTAGTTAGTCTGAAAATTGCAAACTTTTGAACAAAATTCTAAACTTTTTGAGCAAATCATTGTTGGTTAAGTTTTCACTTTTAAAGTGTTAGCACTCAAATTTGACAATATTTAAAAATACCATGACCAAAATATACAGAAAATGCATGTTTCTACCAATTTAATAAACAACTACCAAAAACACTAGTAAAAGAATAAAACCAAAAGTGTCATTTTATAACACTACTTATTTTGTGTATACCTAATAAGATACTTTTCTTTCTAGCTGAAATAATGTTATAAATCACCAGGAAATATAAGCTTATCAGTTATGCATCTCATTCTAAATGTTCTGCCAAATTTAGTTTTTTGTAGTTTTTCTTCTACTTACATGAAATTATTAAACCGTATGGTTCTGAAAAATTAACTTGATTACTTAACAATGATGAATTTGTAAAAATACAATAAAGAAAAGATTATTTCAGGTTGAAAGGGAGTATACAATGAATATACACAAAATAAAATTTAGACTTCTGTATGATAGAGGCGAAATATTATTCTACTTCTCAAGGATTCCAATTTTGGAGATGTACACTTAGAATAAGGTATTTTTCTTTTCTGGTGAACTATGAATAGATACAAAATGCAAGTTTCTTTTTAAAGCATAGTACCACTTTTACAGATATATGTTTTGTTTAAGTCACATTATGAATATTGATTGGTATCAACAAATACTATCATTTAAACTGAAGTACCAAAAATTAAAGAGCAGTTCGCAGAATGGTTTCATACTTCCCTTGTACAAACGAATTCAACCAGATGATGTATGTGTAAGTGAAGGCAGTAGTGTAGCTGTAGCAAACATGAGATGTAGGCAGGATTTAACACTTTGACAGTGGAATGATTGTTGGGGGCAGAAAGATGGGTGGAATGGCATTAGTGCTGAATTGGGATGTGATTTGATGCAATGTTTCCTTTTTTTTAAAGTGATTGCCAGTCATTAGTGGTCCTGTTCTTGCATCACCTGTAGATGCCTGAAAATTTCATGTACCACTGTTAGAAATTCACGTATTTTTAGTACACTGTTGCCCAACTACAGCATTTGCCAACACAGAGATCCCCTGTCTCTGAGGTGAAAAATGCTGTAGTCTTTCTTGGGTAACAGTATACCATCAGTTAATACACTGCAATTTATGGGGTAGGGTAATCATTAATCAACAATTGTAACACTATTGAAAACATTAATTACTGCATCTCACTTGAGTCAGAGAACATTATGATTAGGCTGTGAAAGACTAGCACTATTTTGCTTGAGGAGGAGAGTCACATTTCCAGTGCTTTTCAGCAAATGTTTAATTCTGTGTGCCCAGGAGACTGTATAAAGCTATGGATCCAGCCATTAGCTGGTGTTGTGAAAACTGGTGATGTCGCCATAATGGTACAGGGGGTATTCTGTTAGAGTTCACGATGATTACTAATGAAACTGGAGTCTATCTGTATAGGTATGATATATAAAAATCTGTTGGAATTGTACAATAGGTACTACAACCAAAAATAATGATTTCTTTTTTAATATTATAATTTAAGCATTCCAAATCTCACACACACACAGTTTTATTTAAAAAAAAAAAAAAGAAAAAAAAGTTAATAGGGATTCTAATTTGCTATGTAAATTCATTGTAAACTGACCCCCTTGTAGAACCCAAAACAAATTATGTTCATGCCTTGTGATTTCTTAAAAAGTAAAAAAAAAAAATTAAATCTGAATTTCATAATCAGGAGTTCTTTTTTCAAATACTATTATCAATTATGCACTCCAGACTATGAATTTCAAGAAAATACTTTTTTAAAATTTTACATCATGTCATTTGGCTTATGTAGGGGATCCATTTACAATAAATCTGCATAGCAAAAAGAACCCTCATCCCCTACTAAATTTTACAAAATATAATTAATTTTTTTTTTAAATATTTTTTGAAAAAAAATCATTATTTCTGTTTAGAGTGTCAACTGTACAACTCTACCAATAAAATTTGTAGCAAACCATTTGTATTAGATGTATACTATGTTTTCGGTGGTAGAAGTTTATTTTTCCAATAAAGCAAAACTACACATTACACAGAGGATACAAGTGTTTCAAGAAACTTGGCTAACAGATACTCCACTGCTTACCATTGCCAGATTTAAAAACACCACTGAGTATGTATGGGATATATTGCAACCATACCATACAAAAACAACACAGTAGTAAGTAGCCCTGAAATATATCCAGAGATACCCATACTGTGACTCCAGTACATTATAGACTCCATGGAATATCATGAAGCCAATACCATTCAGTAACTGTCTTTAATGTTTTGGCACTTTATACTATATCCTTATCTTTTTGAAAATAGTATGCTAATTGGCGAAATTACAACTAAAAAGAATTGGTTACTTTTGTTGTTTAATTTAGAAACATGATTTTTCACCTGCATTTACTGTGAACTCTTTTCTTTGTTTTGTCTTATGACATGTCAACCTCAATTGTTCATTTAATGCTGACAAGATTTTTATTACTGGTAACATTTTTTTTCAAAAATATATTGTTGGTATTAAAACCTATTTTTACACTTTCATAGTGTTTTGACCCCAGTTTGGGGGTGGTAACTGTTTGTCCATAGCTGGGACTTTAACAGGTGCTACCACCCTGGGTCAGGGTGGACCTGGGAACACCAGCAATTAAGAAGTGGTTTCATGCTCCTAAAAAACCCTGATGAGAGGCCTTGCTGTTAGATGTAGTTTATCATCATACCCAGGACAGGAACCCTTTTCTATTTCTCAATGCAAGTTATAACTTAAAATTAATCAATTAAATTTCAGTTTTAAAATTCCATTATAAACTCTACATTTTCAAAAAAATAAATTAGATTAGAAAAAAAATTAGAATTACTCATTCTTGTGCTTTTTAAAGGATACTTACCCATAGTTTTTCTCTTGTCATAGCCTTTGTTGATGCAATTCAGAGCTGCAGTAACAACTGCAGGCTCACTGAAACCAAGGAACTTTTGCACCGTTTTATCCAAAATCCCTTTCATGTCTTCAACCTCTTTACGAGACAGAGCCATGGTGAAAGATAACTGTCACTGAAATTAAATTAAAAAGTACAAAAATATTGTGAAGATAATGCATGACCATTATTTTGAAAGAATTATTATTCAGCAGGAATAAGAGTTAGATTTTAATGTAATTTTTTTTTTAGTATCTCTATCTTAATAAAGTGGATATATTTTGTGTATCACAATGTCTCTAAAGGCTAAGTCATCTAGTCTAGTGAATGTAAAGCTACATATGTTCAAATCATTGCAGAAAAGTAGACAGTTCAGGATCAGATAATGATACTCAAAGCAGATTTGAGAATAAACTACATTCCTTTTGCTATATCTACAAGCTTGAACAAGTAAACAAAAAAAAATTCTGTTTGCTGTTCCTCTTATTTGCCAACTTTCATATAGAGATAGATTGGAATACTTCCTTCTGTTTGATGCACAAACTTGTAAGTAATTTTATAAAACTGCTTATTTGCCACTATGGAGGAATCATATTTACTTTATCATCAAACAGGATTCATACATAATTATGACGTGACTTACACATAAGGCTGACCATGTGTAGAGGGAAAATTAGAATGTTCACTTTGGTCAAAGCAATTGATCCAATCAGAAGAACCCTCAGCGTTGGCCATTAACTTCAGTTTAAGAAACCCCTCCACCCAGTGATGCCATGTGATCGCTACACTAGCTGCATACAAAGCTATAGAGTCCAGTCTACACCATTGTGTTACTGTTAGAGAGATGGCTGTACAAGAAGAAAGGTCTTCTTATTTTTAATCCTGTTGAGTGTGTAGCCACCCTCTTCACCAGAAAAGTCTGATGGGTGAATCGGTTTACGCCGCCGATAATTTAATAATAATTAATAATACCAACCCTTTTTTATATATAAATAAACTTAAACTAAGAAGCTAGAAAAAATGTTTGCAAACTATATCATTTGCACAAATAGTTTATGAAAACATTCTTTTTTTCATTCCTGAACCGAATTGCAGTTATTCGTAGGCTTGTTTTATAGAAGTAAAATTAAATATATTTTTTTTTTTGCCTATGATTCAAAACATCGCTTTTTTAAAAAATAAAAGCACATTTATTTACTACTGTCAGGCTAGAGATCAAATTTAAAACTTTTCCATATATTTTGCGATACTTCCGTTTTATCAACACTTATTGTTATTGTATCATTGTTTAAAGGCTATGTATGTAGTGTACACTACAGTATAGAAATATTACTTTTCTGTTTTCTGATAACTATTTCCTACTTCGTGTCGATTATTATGACTAGGTGATCAGAATTACCAAATTAGTTCAACTGACCGCAGAAGAACCTTTATTCAATTGAGTTCGGAATCTAATTACTAAAAAAAAAACCAAACTTTACTTCTTTCCAAATGAGTCACTAGTATTCTAAAACGCAAATACACGTGTGATTTAATTATTTTCCCCCCCTCTCGGTATGTTTTTATGTTTTTTTTTTTTTGTTGTTTGCTTTTTTTTTAGTACAACTTCCAGAGGCCAAATCAAAGTCTCTAGGCACCGGGTTGAAAAACTTGTCAACAGCAAACAAACACGAATATTTTTTAATGAAAGGCAATCATTATTCGCGTTGAAATTATAGCACAAACTAAAGGACGAGAGAACTTATGTGCAATGTTACTCAATTTTCTTTTGTAATAAGTTAATAAATGAATAAACGTTTTTGTGTTTTCTTTAACGATATTTCGATCGAGTAAAAAAAACGTGACGTTTATGAACGAAAAAATAAAATTATTGAAAGGTTAAAAAAGAAAACTACCACGTGACAAAATTTTAATTTGAGTTAAAATTTTCAGTGTAAAAATTAAGGTAAAAACTTATGCTAAATAACAAAACGAAAGCAGTTTTACAGTTTGCGAGTTTAAAACAAAACCACGAAACATTCAAAGCATCAATACATGTGGCATTACTGTGCAAGATCAAAGAAGTGCACGCCGAGTCGACAGCGTCAATAAATAGACGGTTGATTACAAGATATTTTCAAAACAGAAATTTTCAAATAAATGAGGTACTTTAAACTACTACACTAAGAAATACATACAAACCTTGTTCTATTTACAGTTTTTCTTGTTGCTAAACATAGTACATATCATACCGTTCTACAGTAAATCATTTGCAATATGTTAGATTAACTCTGATTGGTTGATATTTGGCCGTCAACAAATCAGAATCACTGTTACAAAATAAACCGTATTAACGATATTTTAGCCGGCGTATCGCACATTTAAACACTTTCAGCATTATTAATTTTTGTTCGAGTAATATTAATTAACAATTCTACTCGAAAATGATTATAAATAAATATTACTGAAATATAAAAATCAGACTGGCTAAAAATATTTTAATAACTAGATTACGTTTGCAAAGCTCACAATTTTATACGGAGTGTGACTGAACATACACTGAGGATCGAGATCATTATTATTTCCTCACTTAATTATTTATTTGCTATTAGTTCAGGCTTGTCTTTTCCTAAAACATTATCTTCCAAGAATGATATATAAAAAAGTTTTTATAAAGTATAATTACTAATAATTAAGAAGCTTTTATCGTGGGTTTTAACCTTCAGTTAACCCCCTTGATTTTAAATTCGACTGATTGGAAGCCATTGGCGGTTCAGTTACAGTTTTTTAAATGTTCAGGAAATTTACTGTTAGAGCTTATGATAGATGCATTGACTATTTCTTTTTCTTATTAAATCCACAATTTTAATTTGAAGTTAGTACGCTTTAGTTTTCAGTAAGCATAGATGCTTCAGAAAAACGAATTTTATTGACTTTTCAATTTAAAATAAAATACTTCAGTTATTTTTCATTCTAAAAACTTTATGAATGTTTTTTTTTTTTAATTTTTTGCTATCATATTGCAAAGTGGCTTTATTGATAGCAATTGTAGCTAGTTATTTTAGTGAGTTTAAACAACTAGTTCTAACCCGTGAACATACGGTTTTCCTATTTGCAATTTTTGATGAATCTTTTAATTATTCAGTTAATGGTTGAATAAGTTCATGGCGAGATTTACAACATTTTCTACTTTCATTTTCTCGTTGAAACCAAGTAGTGTCTTTGATGGCTTATCTTCTCAGTGACCAAAATGGAATAGTCCATTATTTATTAGGTATTAGCAGGAGACATTAAACACGTCTATCTTTCATTTTTTCTTTTTTTCAGTGAAACCAAGTAGCGCCTATGATAAGTGTTTCCACAAGATCAAAACAGTAATTGTAATTTTAATATGTAGGTAGGCCATATTGTAAAGAAATGCACATTTTTAGAATATTTTTGTCAACTTTTATTCTGAAGAGCTATTTTTAAATATTACTTATAGACTTATTGAAACTTATTTCTACAAGAATTATAAATATCAAAAAAGTACAAAATATTTGAGTGTGCCTTTTATATAAATACCCCAATTTAGAAAATTATTTTAAATATAACCCTACTGATTTAATTAGATTTCGTTTGTTGTCAGATTTTCCATAGCATTAATAAAATGTGGCATAAAATCATTATATTATGAAGGGTTGAGTGTTATTCATCATAAATTACAAATGAAAAATGGAAATTAAATTTCATGTAACTTCTATTGTGATTGTTTATAACATTTACTGTAATACATATTAGTTATTCTACTTAAAAATTACAGATTTGGGTTAAATATAAATAGTTAAATGTTTACTAAGCCCAGTCAAGTTTGGCCTCTGTAGAGATTGGTTGTAATTTAAGTTGTAAGTGGTTATAGAAAAAACAAACAAAAAAACTTGCAAATATTTACACTATAGCATTCATATTGAAAAAAACACTGGTTCTGACAGGATCACTGAAAAGAATCCCTCAACAGATTATACCAATTATTCTATTAAAATATTTCCTAGTGTATGGGGATTATGCCAAGTATTCTAATTTAAAATCATTTTCAGTGTAAAAATAAGATGTAAATTCTTTTATCCCAATTGTGTATTTCTAATGATAAATAAAAATATTCATATATGGTGTGCATTTGGCAGAGATTTTCTCACATTTTTTGCTCTTTTACTGTCAACAGCTACATAGCAATTTAGTGCCTGTCGGAGCTTTTACAGCAGGTTATTTATTTATTTAATTCATTGGAGCTTATTAACATTGAGAGCCTATTTTTTTTCATTCATTGAAATTTATTGTTAGCGACCTTATTGAGTGATCGTGATATGTTGTTTGTACACAATCTAATTTAGGTAGTTGTGATTACATTTTAGCACCCCGCTACCATCTTTTTTATCAACATCAATTTTCGTGCAAAAAGTGGACCACAGAGCTTGTGCAGCTTAATAAATATTTTTAGAAAATCGTAACTTCTAATTGGTCGCTTAATATTTAATAACATCGACCTAGTTTTTGACCTTACTAAAAAGATAATTCCGCCAAAATCTATCAAGCTTCTCTGATCCTACCACGTGACCAAAGTTAGCAATAAAACATGCTTCGACAGTCAGCCGATCTGAATCCTTTGAACTCGTCACGCAGTTCCAGGCTTTACGTTAAAGTTCCTTAACATGATTCCAGCCTGAGAGAACGCTCATTCACACAGCAATATTTTATGACGAACAATCAACTGAAGTTTTCCAAATTCAACTTAATACAAGAATCCTTTTCAAGCTCAACGTTAATTATCGCTATTAACATAAAAACACAGCCTGTTAAAAAACACACACACACTTATTTCAACTACAGACTATTTTCTTCGAACAAGTGAAAACAAATCAAAGAACATCAATTCTATCAACCTTAAAGTAAGTCGTAAACATATTCCAATTTTTAGTAACAAACTTGAACTGTTTATCATTTTCTTAAATTACAACACACTTTCTCACTATTGTATATAGACCATTCAACAAATTACAATCTATCAAACCAGAACTTTGATAACTTTTCACCTAAAACATAAAAAGATGTTTGAACTTAAAACCTCCTCTTTATTCCAGTTGTTTTTCTATCTCTTGTTTATATAAATTTTTTATTCGTTGTTGTGCAAAAACTGTTGTTTCTCATGTTGTCCTTATTCTATGTTTGTTGAATACTGAAACTTAATGTGAGAGGAAATTGTTAATTTCACCATGCAGCCTAATTTACTCAACAGTTTTTCATCCATTCATTAACACAACCTCCACAACATGTTATTCCGGGTGCTGTCCGGAATAAGACAATCTTGAAAGTACGCACTTTGAAAAAAAAAGAAGCCATACAGTAATAATGATTATGCAATCAAACAAGTGAATTTTTGAATTAAACTAAAGACATAGGTCTTTTAATAACAAGTAAGTATTTTTATTTGATATTTTCTACACCGTGTGATGTGTTTAATAAAAGGGAAAAGTTCACTTACACGCATTGAGGTATGATTAAAACCGATAAGAAGGGAAAAGTTAACTTTTCTACACCGGCAGAGGGGAAATTGTCGATTCAGTTGATGAGTGATCCATGTCCGAGTTCACAACACGGAATCCCCGTCTCTTACTACTTTGTTTTTTATCTTTGGTATTTACAGTTTCTATGTAGCAAGTGCTGGCTCAAAATGAAGCCCTTCAAAAGGGAAGTGTTGTTAGTGGTATAATAATAATAATATGAATTTTATTTTCAAATATTTTAAAACGCTGCCGGAAGTACCACCCGGACCTATGCGTAAGTAAATGTCTGATTTTTTGGTTGTTCGACTGCTGATTTTGAGACGGCAACTTCAGATCGACTCGACAACCTACTTTTGATTTGTAATTGCTGAATACATGGAAAATAACTCACACTTTGTCAGATATGGAATCATATATTTGTTTTGCGACAGAAAGACCTCAGTATGACACTCAATCAAATAATGATTCAATAGTTTAAAGTAATGATGTTTCTTATTCAAAGGACGAAGCTGAATAAATTCTAAATGTTTGACAATGAATTGTGACCTCACTAATTATGACTCTGCCGTTCCACATTTTCCTTTTAGTGATATTTCGGGTGTGAGGGCCTGTGCGAGTCTATCACGCACGAACATACATACATACATATATATATACATACATACATACAAATACAAATCACATATGACGAAAGACAATGCAGCTATCGGAGGTGAATGAACAGCATACAAGTGTTATAAGTGTTCAATCAATTTTATACAGACATGTATTTGGATAACATCTTCGATATCATGACTTTTAACTGCTAAAAGTATACGTTTTTAACAATCCTCTATTCTCTTCTCGTTGTGTAATATGTTTCGTACATAAAGTACGTGTTTTAAACTGTTCTATTGTCTCAAATTTGTTCAAGTCCCAACTCGGTTTGAGAAGTCGTTAAATATCCTACATCACAACAAGAATGTAAGAAAAGAAAAAAAAATAACAAGCGGACCAAAATGTCCCAATTTCTAAAAAAAAAAAAAAAATGCCTACCAGAAAGATATAAGGCCGCGTGTCAATGAGAAGCGAATGGCCTTTTAAAAGATTATCTATTACGAGTATATAAACAGATGTAAAATCGACCAAAATCAGAGTCGATAAATTAATTTTGTCCATTCTCCGATGCTGCGATAACATATTCATAACATACCCAGATGCGGAATAGCTGGTGACCACACATCTCGTTACATTAAAACAAACATACATTTTTCACTACATTACCAATCGGTGACTACAATACGTGGATACAAAATATTTATAACTCCTATACATATATAATTACATTCTTTCCCTTATTCTCTCCTGTATGCGTCCACAAAACATAACATCCATAGGACCATTACCAGAAGTAAGCGGACATATTTATCTACTAGCTATAATTGACAGATTTACAAGATGGCTAACCAACATCCCCCGAAATGATAGAGCAACGGAAACAGTTGCAAATAATATTTTACATGAGTGGATAGCCTTTTGTTTCGATGTTCCTTCAGTAAAAAAAAACAAATCGTGGACCACAATTCGTGCTAGTACTCTTTGGTGAATTTACTACTTGGAATCAATCATATAAAATTTCATAGTATGCCATTCTTGTAAAAATGGTTTCGTTCTCCATTTCCACCGGCAGCTTAAACAAGCAAACAACCATTACTTAACGTGTTTACAAAACTTACCGCTAGCATTTTGATCAATAAGGAATATAATTAAGCAAGTTTTAAGATGCACAGCATCTGAAATAGTTTTTGGCACAGCATTAACGTTACCTGGTCAGTATTTAGAAACAATTAAATCAATTACACCCCACTATGTTTTTTGTAAAGGATTTCAATCAGAAGATGAATTTATTTTTTACGCCGAGGTCGAATTCAAACGAAAAACTGCGTCACACCAAAGAATCTTTACAACTGAATATATCTTCTTGGGAAATGATAAATTAGAGAGACCTATCTCTCCTATTTACTTAGGGCCCTTCCAAGATGTAAACAGAAAATCAAATATTTTACAATTATTAAAAAATGGCAAGAACGACATTGTCTCCATGCTGAAAACTGCATATTTAGATTTAACGACAAAGAACATTAAAACAGGATTGCACACAATCATCTGATACCAGGATAAAAAAAATCCTAAACACACACACACGTACATACATTGCCAAATCGAGTAAGCGTGTCACATACCCACCTTCAAACATATATTTCTTATTAGTGACATTATTAAACATATTGATATAATATCTCTTCAACGCCGAAGTGTTTAAGTTATCCCATGATCTGCTCTCTGACAAGCAATATGGTTTCCACTTTGCCCGGTCTACAGCTGATGTGCTCACGGCCATAACTGAATTTGTTTACCAAGCACTTTACAATAACGGAGAAGCTTGTATCGTAGGCCTAGATATCTCTAAAGCGTTTCATAGGGTTTGGCATGCCGGTCTCCTTTATAAGTTTCAGGGATACGGTATTTCAGGACGATTATTTGTTTTAATACAATCATTCCTGTCAAACCGTGTAATGAAGGTCGTCTTTAACGGATTCTCTTCCAGTTCCTTTCTCACGAACGCAGGTGTTCCACAAGGCTCTATCCTGGGCCCTACCCTGTCCATTATCTTTATTAACGATCTTCCCGATGTCACCAGTTCCCAAATAGGCATCTATGCAGACGACACCACTATTTACTCCTGCCTAAATAGCAAATCTGGTATCGCTGACAAAACTAACCTGGCCGTTGGTCTCGAAAAGGACTTCCAATCGTTTGTTGACTGAGGCAGGAAATGGATGATTAACTTTAATACCTCAAAAACAAAAATGCTCTCTATTACCCACTATAGAGAACCCCCTCTGCCTTCCATTAGAATGTCTGATGCTCAACTCAAGGAGAACACCTCTTTCTTTGCGACTGCTTGGTCTCACACTGTCTGCTGACCTGATATGGAACAATTACATTGAATCAATAGCTTCATCTACGACAAGGAAAGTTGGTTCTCTGTGTCGCGCCAGAAAGTTTTTCACGCCCCAGTCCATCCTTCAAATCTATAAATCAACTATTCGCCCTTGTATGGAATATTGCTGTCATATATGGTCTAGAGCCTCAGCTGTTCGCCTTATGGTCCTCGACAAAATCGAGAGACGGATATGCAATGTGGTTGGCCCTTATCTGTAATCTCATTTACAGTCGGTTTTCACAGACGTGTCTTCGCTCCCTGTCTTTTCTACAAATACTTTCGCGGTAACTGCTCCGATGAGCTATTTTCGCAAGTTCCCAAACTGCATGAATTTAAACGTGCCACTAGCTCGGCATCTCAATCCCACCTTTTCACTATCGAAACGGTTAAATGTAGCCGTCTCTTCTACTCCAATAGCTTCATGCCTCACGCTTCCTGTCTGTGGAACTCCCTTCCTCTTAGTTACTTCCCTGATAACTATAATCTTCAACTATTCAAATGCAAAGTCAATCGACATATCCAGATGTCTTGATCTATTCCCCGTCCTTCTCTTCATCCTTTCCTCTTTCACGCCTCATTACTCTTGCTCCCACTTTCCGTAACCCCTTGCTTGGGGTGAAAAGTTAAAAAAAATCTATCAGCAGTTCGTACATATCCCCATATGAGAAATAATGCTCGTTTTCAAGTGTCTTAAGCTTGGAACCTCTGAAAAGTAAAGTCGGCAAACCAAAAATTGACTGGATATATCTCGAAAAGTGATAAAATGCATTTTTAAAAATGAAGAATCATTCTTGAAGCTTTTATTTTAGTTTAATTCCAAGCTTAAATTTAATATTTCCAATGAGCGATTCATTTTACTGTATTTGAAACCGAATTTAAATTGATTGGAATTACTTTTTTTAATCGCTAAATTCAGCCATATTGACAAATATACTTTTATGAAACTTCATTTGACGAAGATTAACTGATTTGAAGTTTAATTAATCTGAATTAAATCAAATATTACTTTTAGTTTAATATAAGCATTTTTTTTTAATATGGAGGTGGATGATTTTATGAGGTGTAGTTAGATTTATCGATAGTTTAATGTAGGTATCTCCACTAATTCGGTATAAATTTTCGATACCCCAAGGTTTCAAATGAATTTTTAAAAATAAAAACGCATTCATGAAAATTTCTTTTTAGCTTTAATTGAGAGCTAAATAATTAAATTGACCATTTCCAGTAGGTAATATACTCTGGTGTATTTCAAATAGAAATTATATAAATGGGAATGCCAAATATTTGATCGATTTAAAAAAATGTTTACTTAACGACGGGTCCTATTTTTCTCATGTCTTTATTGACGTTATCGATAAGCTCCAAAGTGTTGACAGCTAGTATGGATGACCAGAATTGACATAAACTTACGACATCTAAGTGAACGCATTTTTTGGAGGGGCGTTACTACCTAGTAGCTTTTACAAATTAACATATTTTCAGCAATTATCCAATATTTTATTGACTTTTATTAGTTACGTTTGAAGATGCTTTATGAAAAAATAATAAAAATTAAAATATAAAATTTTCTTAGATTAATTTTAAAATTTAATAACTGAGATGAAATACCATGATGGAGGTAACTCAATAATGTATAACCCACATTAAAATAAATACATAAAATAAAAATATTTCGTTAAATAGAAATTAAATAAAGTAAAACTTACTTTAAAATTTAAAGTTTTAAAACTGAAGGGATAATGTTCAAAACATGTTGAAACGTAAGCAATGAATAACGAATTGGAGACAAGCGAATTTCTCTGTAAAAAGAGGACAATTAGAACATATGACTTTTTCATAATAATGTTACGTATAGGCTACCATAGATGAAAAATGAGAATGCAACAAGTAAAAAGTAAAAAAAAAAACATAAATTATTTTAAAAATACTGGTTTTTAAACAACTTATATTAAGCTTTTCAATTTTTTATTCTTATAGTTTTTACTTAATTACAATATCATCTAAAAGAAATACGGTGTGGAAGATTTTTAAATTATGATAAATTATTATAATTAAAATTTTGAAAAAATGAAAATATTTTTGTAAAAATTCATTTTTCATCGAAATTTTTTTTCTTAAGGCAATAATGTCCTAAATATAACTCATTTACAAAGGCAACTAAAAGGTTTTCTAATTAAATAATGTCATAGTTTTATTACATTCTTTAATGCAGATTTTCAGAAAACGAGCAAAAGTTTAAAAAAATATTGTATGATTTACATTCTCCAAGTAGCCCTACTTTTAACTAATAAAACCCGATTTAATTTCTCGAAATTTCATGAAATTAAGTGGGGTGTAGCATATGTAAAAAAAAAATATATTTTTTTACCAAGTTTTTCTAAAAGAAAAAATTTCAATAATTAATTTAATTCATTTGTGAATAAGTTCTGAAAATTTGATTAAAATCTGACAATTATTTGATTTTTGCAAAAATTTCCAAATTAATGAGTTTTTCACCGGAAAAAAGCGCAAAAACACACTGTAAAAATGACTTACGCCGCAGACGTAAAAAAACAGGATTTTTAACCAAAATTTCGAACATGTTAGAAAG